TAAAGCAGGGTAAGGTGGATGGGGAGGGCTGAGGTGGAGGAGTAACCTCTGAGAATGTGATGCTGGAGCAGAAACATGAAAGCAGTGAGGGTATAAGTCATGCAGGCAAGGTGCAGCAAGTGCAAAGGCCCTGAGGCAGGAGTATACCAGAATATATGTATCCAGATAGAGGAAGGTAAGTCTTACCCACTCTCTGCTGGTGAAACTACATCTGGGAATTGGTGTCTAATTCTGGGCACCACATATTTGAAGAGAGAGATTGTCAAATTAGAGCATTTCGAGGTAGTAAAGGTTTAGAACTGGCTCATATTAGGAGGAGGTTAAAGAAGAGAGTGACTTAGGCACGCCTAAGTGGTTCTCTTCAAGTGCTTGAAGAACAGACACAAGCCAGAGAGCTGAGACTTACTCCGTCTCATCAATAATCAGGCCCACTCAAGCATTATTCATTTGTTCTTGTGTAACACACAATAGAACAAGTAGAGTTTCCCTGAAGAGAATGAAGCTGCTTTGCCCAAGTTGTGAGCTCCCTGTTATTGGAGATGTTCAAGAAAATAGTGGACAATCTACCAAGTACATAGAAGATGACTTTCTCATCCCAAGTGGGAATATGGAATAGGAGACTTCTGAGGTGAATCCCATTTGGGAGATTCTGAATTATATCCTAACCCTCCTCCCTCCAGTTTCTCTCCTTCTCCTTTTTGTTTCCACCTTCCCTCCTAGCTCATACTCAGGACACAACATACCTGCACAGGTACGCACATGTGCACACACACACGCTCGTGCACGCACGAGGGAGGTAAGGCAATTCAGAAAAGAGAAATTGAATGCAGATATTGTGAGAGGAGGGAAGCAGGAGGAACACAAAGAGAGGGATGGGGAAGAAACAGAAAGCAGGGGGAGAAGAGAATCAAGGAAAATGGAGAGAGAGGGAGGAAGGCAGGTCGAAGAGAGAGGCTGGAGAAGGACAAGAGAAGAAAGCAGCTACAAAGGAAAAAATGAAGGAAAGAGAAAAAGGAGCAAGAGAGACAACATTAAAACGAAAAGGATAAGAGGAAAGACAAAAGAGTATGGGAGAGAAGAAAGATGCTGGGGGAAAAAACCAAACCCATTGCCATTGAGTCGATTCCAGACTCATAGTGACGCTATAGGACAGAGTAGAACTGCCCCATAGAGTTTCCAAGGAGCACCTGGTAGATTCAAACTGCCGACCTTTTGGTTAGCTGCCGTAGCACTTAACCACTACATCACCAAGGTTTCCAGAGATAGGGGAGAGGGAGAGAAAGTGAGGAGGAGAGAGAAAGAAAGGAAGGAGAGAGGGGAGACAAGACAGGGGAGAAGAGGCGAGTTTGCATGAGCCTATAGAGTCAGGGAGTTGCTGACCCTCTCAGAGCGCCCCAGGGCAGCACATGGGTAATCTTGAATCACAGATTATTTGGGACTTCCTGTTTTCAGTCTCTTTGTGAACCCTTGGAGGGGTTTCCAGCCAGTGGATAAACCTGAGTGCCAAGTCTCCCTCCGCAGGCCAGCAGCCATTTCACCATCCCGGCTGGCTGCCCCTCCTGAATGTACCCTTGCCCCACCTGCCCTTTCTGGCCTGAGGGCCCGCCCAGCATCCCCTCCAGCTCCCATCCAACCACCCACAGCGCCAGACCACCATGCCGCTTCTCTAGGATCCCCACATCATCAGCTTCTCAACGGCGCATAACAGAAACTTGTAAGCCATTGTGCATGTAGAACACAGTTCCAAGCCTTTATCAAAAAAAAAATCACCTTATAGAAGGCAGCTCCCTGAAACACATTTGCTTTGCCCTTTTCCAAGTTCCCTTATTTTTCCTTCCATCCCCCTGCCCCTCCCAAGTTACCATCAGGTCTTTTATCCAGCCTTTTACATTCAATCCAGCAAACACACACCTACATCTACATTGTGCCAGATGCAGGTGTGACACCTGTGAAAAAGGCTCATTTTCTGTCCTTAAGAAGCTCACAGTCTAATGGTGAGACAGACATGGGCGGATCCAGGGGTGGATCTGGTTTTGTGAGAATAGACTTCGTACACTTTAGGGGTCTTCAACATGCGGCTTCCATCTTGAGGCCCAAGATGGCTGCTCCAGCTCATACCATCACATCAACTTCCCAGCCAGTGGAAAAAAGGGAAAGGGAAGATCTTCTTTCACCTTAAAGGCACCACCCAGATGTTGCTTACATCACATCCACTCATGTTTTCATCAGCCAAAACTTGGACACTTGGCCACACTTAGCTGTAAGGGAGACTGGAACCAAAAAATCTTTAGCTTAAAGATCAGGTGCCCAGCTAAAACTTAGGAGTCCTATTACTAAAGGAATAGCGGAGAATGGAATCTGGGCAACAGCTGGAAGTCAGAGCCCTGGAAGATCTAGGTCAATGGTAGGTTCAACCTTGGGCCGGAGGAGGCACGCTGCTGCCACTGGGGCTGGGAGGAACAAGTGGGAAAGCGATGAGTTTGGAAAATAGGAAACTCTTGTCTGACCACTTTTATTTTCTCTGCAAAGTGGGACTCAGAGTCACCCCTGAGAGAGAGGCTAAGCTGTCAGAGAGTGAAGAAGAAAGATTTGCCAACCCTAGTCTCGTGGGCCTCTCTCTTTATTATAGTTTGTGGTCCCCCAGGGTGGGACAGTAGGCAGGCATCTGTACACACTGAGAGATTGCTACGAATAACAGCTGAGCCTTTGCAGTCCCGGGTTTCACTCCTCACTCTATGCTTGGCTGCTCTATGGCCTTGGGCAAGTCAAGAATCTGTTTCCGAATCCATGAAATGGCCGTGATAATGCCCGCCATGCCTGCCTGGGTCACAGCCAGTTTTGAGCCCCTCAGAGAGCTGTGGAAACGCTTTATAAGCAGTGTGGTTGGTGCATTATCATGGTGTTGTCGGGGCAGTGCTGAGCCTCGAAGGGCAGGCAGGAAAAGGCTAGGAGGGGAAATTGTAAGGAGCTGAGAACCAAGCCCACCCTTCTCGCCCTGGCAGATCCTCCCACCCAGGCTGCCCAGCACCCGGCCCCTCAGAGCAGATCTGGGCTCTGCCCACACTGCCCAGCATCAGAACTCCTCTGCCATCCAGGTGAGGGTGACAGGGGAGGAAGTGGACAAGCAGGGCCCCCACAGGCAGCAGGAGGGGCAACCTGCCCCGCTGTCCATAGCCGCGGAGTCAGCCTCAGTTATGTCTGAGATGGCTATCACGAGCCTTGGCCTTCATCCCCGAACCTGGCCTCAGAGGCTCTCCTAGGACCTCTCCTTGACCCCAGGGCACAGCCCGTGTTCCTGGCCTCAGCCCAGTAAACAGTGTGAGTTTCTCCCCCAGGCCTTTGGCCCAGCAGGCCTAGCCTTGTCCAGAGTATGCTCATGCAGGTAGTCACACACACACACACACCATACATGCACACACAAAAAACACACAGTATACTACCCACACATCAACACACACACAGACACTGCATGCACACACAAAAAATACCACCCACACATACACCACACTCTATACACATCACACACACCATATGAACACACAAAAAACATTCCACAAACACAATACACCACACACATGCGAACACACCACATACACATACATCACAGACTACACACATCATACAGACATACCACACACACACATCTCCGACAACACACACACACTACACATACCACATACAATACACACATCCATCTTTCTAACCTGTCTCCCATATAACACCCCTCCATTCAATCCTCTACACAACCGCTTGAGTGATTTTTCTAAAAGACAAGTCAGGTCACTTTCTGGTTTAAACTCCTCTTCCTCCCCTCGACGGCTTTTCAGACTTCAGGCTAAAATTCACGCTTCTTACCAAAGCGCTTGAGACCACCCCCCACCCACCACATGATCCTGCTGAAGGAGCCCTGGTGGCGCAGTGGCTAAAGCACTCGGCTGCTAACCAAAAGGCGGGTGGTTTGAACCCACCAGCTGCTCCACAGGAGAAAGATGTGGCAGTCTGCTTTGGTAAAGATTACAGCCTTGGAAACCCTATAGTGTCGCGGTGAGAATTGACTCGACAGCAGTGGGCTTTTTTTGTTTGTTGGTTTGTTTTTATGATCCTGCTGACACACTGTCATGGATTGAATTATGTCCCCCAAAAAATATGTGTATCAATTTGGCTGGGCCACGATTCCCAGTATTGTGTGATTTTCCTATATATTGTAAATCCTGCTCTATGATGTTAATGAGGAAGGGTGGGCGGCAGTTGCGTTAGTAAGGCAGGACTCAATTTACAAGATTGGATTGTGTCCTGAGGCAATCTCTTGATATATAAAAGAGGGAAGCGAGCACAGAGACAGGGGTACCTCACACCACCAAGAAAACAGTGCCAGGAGCAGAGCACATCCTTTGGACCTGGGGTCTCTGCGCAGAGAAGCTCCTAGTCTGGGGGAACATTAATGAGAAGGCCAACAGAGAGAGAAAGCCTTCCCCTGGAGCTGATGCCCTAAAGTTGGACCTTAGCCTACCTTACTGTGAGGAGATAAACTTCTCTTTGTTAAAGGCATCCACCTGTGGTATTTCTGTTATAGCAGCACTAGATGACTAAGACACACACCTTCCTGCCCACTCAGCCAGTCTGAACCTATCAGCTTTCCCACCTCTCCATGTGGTTGCTCACACCTTTGCACATCCTCACTCCTCTCCAAAGAATGCCCCCCTACCTAGTCCATCGGAAACTATATTCATTCTTCCAAACCCCATTCAGACCCCATCTTCTATAAAGAGTTCCTTTATGGCCCCAAATGGAATTGCTCAGTTTCTCTTCTGTACCTTGTACAGGTATGTATTGGAATGATTTGTTTCCTGTGTCTGCATCCCCTGCTAGAAGGATGGCCGTCTCAAGGCTAGGAGCCGTGTCCCATTCGTCTCTATCTATGGAGCACTAGGTCCTGGCATTGGGTGGGTGCTCAGTGAATGCTGGCGGGTGGCACTCACCCCCCTCATCCTCCCACACAGATCAAAGTGGAAAACCAACATGACTATCAGGACATCACCAGCGTGGTAGCCATGGCCAAAACCTATGCCACCACCGAGACCTTCATTGACTCCAAGTATGACATCCATATCCAGAAAATTGGATCCAACTACAAGGCATACATGTGAGTCCCTGGTGCAGGGCTGGGGGAGCTGGGAGGAAGGGTGGGGGAGATTGTGGGAAGACGGAGATTAGAAATGCACATCTAGCCTGCTCCTCTCCTCCCTCTGCGCCAGGGCAGTGATCTCCATCATTGCTCTCCCTTTCTGTCCCTTTACTGCCCTTCTTGTCAGTGCTGCTGACAGCTGATGTTCTGCTACAGCTTATGCAAGGGTAGGAGTCTGTCTACCCCAACAAAGGCTATTTTCCCTGAGGAAGAGACGCTTGGCATGTTGGGGAAACTACAAGTATATAGAGGATGTATGTTATAGGAGAAAAGACTGCAGGAGAAATTGAGACAAATCAAGGAAGGCCTTAAATGCCCTGCCAAGGGGGACTGGATTTTATTCTCTTCTGAGCAGAGAAGTGACATAATCTGGCCTGTATTTACAAAAAGATCACTCTAGGGCTGTGGGCTGCAAAAAGGCTTCCCTGGAACAAATAAGACCAGGTAGGAGGTTACATTAGATTTCTCTGGCTGCAAGCAACAGAAACCAAATACGACTAATTTAAGGGATGTTTGTTGTTAAGGGAATGTATTAGAAGATGTGGGTGATCAGAAAATTAAATAAGCTAAACTAGCAATCTCAGAAAGATTAAGGTCCAGGGCAGCCCCAGGAATCTGCGTAGTCAAATGTACTAGACAATCTTTGGCACCTCCACTGGGAAATGAATCAGCCCTCATTTTCAGTGCTTCACTCAAGGTTCCAATCCATGGAAGCAGCACTGATTAGTCCAACATTGGTTACATGCTTATTGGTTGGAGAAAGGTAGAAAAGCAGTATGGACAATCCCACCAAGATGGCGTGCAATGCATTGGGGTTATTCTCCAGTGGAAATAGAAGGGCTCTGACTAAAGTAAAAGAGAAAAGAATAGATGCCAGGCATAAAAAACAGCACATATTCACTGCAGAGGTGGTTCAGGCAAAGGATGATTTGCACTCATGTCGTGGTTACAAGGATAGGAGTGTTCTTGAATAGGTGGGAGGTCTCATTCATTGGATGAGGTCCATCTGCTCCACAGCTTCAGAATGTGGTTGTTGGTTCCATGAGAAATGTTAAGACTTTAAAGAGACAGGGACCATTGCCTGGTTCCTCAGCATTTATGAAGTACCAACTGTGTGCAATGGCTGGTTGGACACTTGGAAGTCTCTGTCCATGTGCCTCTCTGCAGTGTAGCTTGTGATCTAGGGTCAGCAAACAGCTAGAAGGTCAAGTCCAGCCACCACCTGTTTCTATAAATAAAGTTTTATTGAGCACAGCTGTGCTCGTTTGTTTGTGTGTTGTCTATGTGGCTGCTTTTCGTACTACCTGGACTGCCTAGATCAGAGATTGGTAAACTTTTTCTATAAAAGGGCAAGACAGTAAATATTTTAGCCTTTGCAAACCATAAGATCTATTTGTCAACTACTCAACTCTTCCACTGGCTGGGCAACTGGAGGAGTTGCAGGAAGTTGACCTACAAGAAAGTATTATGAGGAAAAGAATGGAGCCATTTCTTAAGGAATCGTTCTGCCCTGCTATGGTAGAGTTTTGGCAATCATCCTTTTCCATCCAAGAGCTTGGCCAGAATTGTCACTGTTCTTGGATGCCCTTGGGGTGATACTATCTCCTCCTCCCTTCCCCCTCTGAATTGTGGCACATCCCACTGCCGCAGTCTTAATGCATTCCTGAGGCCCCACCATCCCGTCATGATATCATTTCCCTCCTCTCCTCATTGTTAGAGCTTCCACTTGACTTTGACAACACCTTGCCCCAGTTTCTCTTCTTGAGGATTACCTCATTGCTGCATTCTCTATGCTGAGCCTCTCAAGGCTGACAGCTCCAAGCTGTCATTAGTTATGGCATTTCCTGGACCCTGGGTTAGCCCACATCCGAGGGAGGGGGTTCGTGTCAGTCCCAGCGTAGACCATTCTCCCTGCCTCCGACCATTCAATCTCCCCTTTGACCCACTTCCTGCCCTGCCTATGAGCTCATTGCTACTGAGGTGTCAACATTTCTAGGACTTCTCAGCAGACAGAGCTTGAAATAAATATACATATCCTAAGCCCATGTATACACACATATCTACACACATAATTATTTCAATATATATTCATCCACATCTATATTAGGAGCCCTGGTGGCATAGTGGTTAAGAGTTCAGCTGCTAACCAAAAGGTTGGCAGTTCGAATCCACCAGCCATTCCTTGGAAGCCCTATGGGACAGTTCTACTCTGTCCTATAGGGTTGCTATCAGTCTGAATCGACTCGACAGAAACGAGTTTGGGTTTTTGTTTTTTGTTTTTTAATCTATATCAAGAAACCCTGGTGGCGCAATGGTTAAGCTGCTAACCAAAAGGCTGTTGGTCCAAACCCACCCAGTGGCTCCACATGAGAAAGACCTGGCAATCTACTTCTGTAAAGATTACAGCCTAGGAAACCCTACGGAGCAGTTCTACTCTGTCATATGGGGTTGCTATGAGTCAAAAACTGGCCCGGAGGCACACAACAACAACATATCTATATTGCGGACAGTGGTGGTTTGGTGGTAGAACTCTCACCTTCCATGAGGCGACCTAGGCTTGATTCCCAGGCAATGCACGTCATGCACAGCCACCAATCGTCTGTTAGTGGAAGCTTGCGTATTGCTATGATGGTGAACAGGCTTCACTGAAGCTTCCAGACTAAGATGGACTAGAAGAAAGGACAAGTGCTCTACTTCCAAAAAATCAGCAAAGGAAAATCCTATAGATCGCAGCAGTCTGATCCTCTTATGCATGGGGTTGCCATGAGTCAGAAGTCAGCTAACAACAACAACAACATGTCTATATTAAGCTGAATACAAGTTCATATTGATGTCGCCAACTTTCACCCAGCACCATGTGGTTCATTTTAGCCTTCTCCATTGTTTTTCTGTAACCTCCCACTTTAGCAAGAAAAAACCTGGCTCCCACTATCTACCATCCATTTAGTTATTTGTCCAATCCCATTATACAAAAATCCGCACAACTGTACCAATAAGCAACATCATGATAAACGGAGAAAATATCGAAGCTGTCAAGGATTTCATTTTACTTGGATCCGTAATCAACACCCATAGAAGCAGCAGTCAAGAAATCAAACAATGTTTGGAGACCTCATACCACCAAGAAATAAGAACCAGGAGAACAGTGTGTCCTTTGGACCCAGGGTCCTTGCGCTAAGAAGCTCCCAGACCAGGTGAAGATTGATGACAAGGACCTTCCACCAGAGTTGCTATAGGGAGAAAGCCTTCCCCTGGAGCTGGCAACCTGAATTTGGACCTCTAGCCTCTTAGACTGTGAGAGAATAAATTTCTGTTTGTTAAAGCCATCCACTTGTGGTATTTCTGTTACAGCGGCACTAGGTGACTAAGACAGAATTTGGTACTGAGCGTGGGGTGCTGCTCTAACCAATACCTAAAATGTGGAAGCGGTTTTGAAATTGTGACTAGATAGAGGATGGGAGAGTTTTAAAGTGCCTAATAGTAAAAGCCTAAATTGCCTTGAAGATACTTTCGGTGGAATTACGGACATCAAAAATAATTCTGGTGAGGACTCAGAAGGAAGTGAGGAGAGCTGTAACACCAGAGATGGTGCAGACAGTGAGCAGCAGCAGCAGAGAACCGGCAGCAGCAGAGAACTGGAAGCAGCAGAACCAGGAGACTGGTGCGAGACAGCACTGGAGCTGACCCACGGAGGGACAGAGCTGAATGCCTTTGAGCAGGAGGCTTCCTGGCAGAGTAGGGTGCCTCTGAGCATTTATTGGTGGAGCTGAAGAGCTTTGGAACACCTGCTCCAGCATGGCAGATGAGGGTGGCAAGGCCCGAGGGACTGAAAGGCTAAGAAACTAGGAAACAAAAGCTGAAGAGACAAGGAACACAGGAAGCAGAACTGCCTTGGTCTCATATATTTTATCTCTCTGGTGCTGCAATGTTACGTTCATGTTCTTCCAGTTTCCAGAAAGGGAATAGCCATATGAATGATTTCCCTTTCTGTTGTTATTTCTCTGTATGTTATATTTGTTCATATTTAAAGAAAAAAAAAAGCAAGCTTATAAGCTTTCATGAAGTGTTCTTATCAGTTTTTTGATAAATTATAGATAGATAGAATGGTCATTTTATGCAGGAAATATTTATACTATAAGTTTGGATGGAGCCTGATTAAATTTTTTAACGGAATACCTATTACTTTAAAACTCCATATTTTGGCTAAGCTTGGACATTTAACTTCATTGTGCACATCTCTATATGAAAATACCTGCATTCAATTTTTTAAAAGATATATATTTTAATGTATGCGTTTATTCCTCCTATGATACTCTACCATATTTATATTTTATTCTATACCTGTAGGTATACATACAAGTAAATCTTTTCTTTTTGAATTTAAAATGGCACTTTGCACTGCCACAGAGGTGATGATGGACTATGTATATAGCTAGATATTTTTATTTTGTAAAAAAAATAAAAAATACATACATCATTTGCTATCACTAGTACCTCTCAGCTTACTCTTCAGGGGATAGGAAACAATCAGTAGATTGGTTTCCATACAGGGAAGTTCTCTGTCCTATGCCATGTTTCCGGCTAATTTTTTTAGTTCTGAGCCATTTATTATACTTAATTTTGGAAGATGCATTTGTTCTGACTTGTCATTTGGGGCTTTCTTTTAAAAGTTAGAACTTTCAAGGGGAAATGGTGCTATATGTTTGTTATTAGTTTGTATAACTTTTGGTGTAATATTCATAAACTATGAGAATCAGTATTAGCCATTTGTTGTAAATGCCAATAAAATGTACACCAGGTGCAAGAATGTACTTTTTTTTTCTTTTTAGAACACCAAATGTACTTTATATATGCATGCAACTATTTACTAGGTATATGTGGTTTAAAGGGTGGTTTCATCTATATTATTCCTTATGTTTTATAGGACAAGATTCTAACTTAAACTTGATCTTTTTTCAAATTGTTTGTGTGAAGATGCTGTGCCCAGTTAAACATTCCTCAGGTGTTTATATATATTATGTTTTGCAGTTTTCAGATGTTAAATTACAATCAAGTTAAATAACCACAATTAAAAAAAAAAAAAAAAAAAAAAGCTGCCTCAAAGCTGCCTCACCACTCAGATGGACTAGGAGAATGGGCCACCCAAAGCCGAGGGAGCAGAGTTGCCATTCCAGTGGGCCTGTAAGGTGGAGCTGAAGCCCACAGTCGAAGGGTCTCCACTCAGAATCCAGAAAGTATGGCCAATACCTAGAATCTGGAGGGCAGGGCCATTGTGTAAATGGTCTCAGAGAACAGAGGATTATTTTCAAGCCTTGAGGGCTAATGTAATGTTTTCTGCTGACTTGCTTGGTGCCTGTTATCCTTTCTTTCCCTCTAATTTCTCCTATTTGTAATGGAAATGTCTGCCTTGTGCCTGTTCCACCATTGTACTTTGGAAGCAGATGACTTGTATTCTATATTTCACAAATGAAGAGGAATTTTTGGATTTTGGACTTGGAGGTGATTTAAGACTTTCGCTATGACATGATGGGGTGAATGTGTTTTACATGTGGGAAGAACATTAATCTGGGGGCCAAAGGGTAAAATGTTATGGATTGAATTGTGTACCCAAAAACTGTACGCATCAATTTGGCTAGTCCATGATTCCCAGTTTTGTGTGATTATCCTCCATTTTGTCACCTGATGTGATTTTCCTATGTGTTGTAAATTCTACCTCTATGATGTTAATGAGGCAGGATTAGCGGCAGTTACACGTTAATGAGGCAGGACTCAATCTACAAGATTAGGCTGTGTTTTAAGTCAATCTCTTTTGAGATATAAAAGACAGAAGCAAGCAGAGAGACATGGAGACCTCACACCACAAAGAAACAACAGCCAGGAGAATACCATATCCTTAAGACCTGGAGTCTCTGCACTGAGAAGTTTTTAGACCGGGGAAGATTGATGAGAAGGACCTACCCACAGAGTCGATATAGAGAGAAAGCTTTCCCCTGGAGCTGACACCCCGAATTCAGACCTCTAGCCTCCTAGACTGTGAGAGAATAAATTTCTCTTTGTTAAAGCCAAAAAAAAAAAAAAAAAAAAATCAAACAATGTTTCGCATTGGGCAAATCTGCTGCAAAAGACCTCTTTGAAGTGTTAAAAAGCAAAGATGTCACTTTGAGGACTAAGGTGCACCTGACCCAAGCTATGATATTTTCAATCGCCTCGTATGCATGTGAAAGCTGGACAATGAATAAGGAAAACCGAAGAAGAATTGATGCCTTTGAATTACGGTGTTGGCAAAGAATATTGAATATACTATGGACTGCCAGAAGAACAAACACATCTGTCTTGGATGAAGTGCAGCCAGAATGCTCCTTGGAAGCAAACATGGCGAGACTTCGTCTCACGTACTTTGGACATGTAATCTCGGGGGACCAATCCCTGAGAAGGACACCATGCTTGGTAAAGTAGAGGGTCAGCGAAAAAGAGGAAGACCCTCAACAAAACGGGTGGACACAGTGGCTGCAACAATGGGCTCAAACATAGCAATGATTGTGAGGATGGAGCAAGACCGGGCAATGTTTCCTTCTGTTGTACATAAAATGACTACGAGTCAGAACCGATTCAACAGCACCTAACAACAACAACAGACACGTACGGTTTCAGAATGTTAACTGATAGTCTCAGGGGAAGCAACGTTATCAACTAAAGTAGAGTGCTTACATATAGTTCCTTTTGTCTTTAGTCTTATAGTCTCCACTCATTACCAAACTTACTTAGGTCAGCATCTTTGCCCCCACCCTCCTTCAGTGAGGTTATATCATATGTCTGTAAAACAGGTAGATTTGTCTGTCACAATCTACAGTCTATCTGCATTCCAGTGCTGAAGCACAGCTAGACTGGCCCATCCATTTCCCCAGGCCTACAATGGACTCTAGTATGGAAAGCTGTAGTTAAGAGCATGGAGTTTGTCAGCTATGGTTTGGATCCTGCTTCTGATACTAACTAGCCTATTTGCAAGTCATTTAAACTTTTGAACCTTAGTTTTCTTATCTGTCAAGAGGGGATGATAATAATAATGCCCATCTCATTAGGTTTTGTGAGGCTGAAATGAGCCAACGCTTATAAAGGCCTTAGATTCATGTCTCAGACATAGAAAGCACTCATTAAATATCAGAGCTCACCAAGGGAAAGAGTCTGGCTTGTGTTCCTGCTGCCTCTGCAGGAATGCTTTCTTTTCTTGTCTCCACTTACTGAGAAATAATAGTAGCACCCATTGTGCTAAAAGATTATGAGAATATTTCCTTTAATCTACGCAACACCCTATATAGAGACTACTATATAAGGTCGCTATGAGTCAGAATCAACTCAATGGCACACAACAACAACAACATAATTATTCCCATTTTATCACTGACAAAATTAAGACTCAAAGGTGAGGATACTTGCCCATGGTTATATGGCTAGTAAATGCTGGAACCAAGATTTAAATTCGTGCCTGTCTGACTCAAGTCAATCTCTTACCACCATACAGATCCCACCATGCCAAATTCTACCCATCCTCCAAGGCACATCTCAATGGCTACCTTCTTGGCGCTCATTAAATGACTTTGGTTTCTCCTTTGCTTCCCCAGAGCTTTTCAATCTCTTCTGCATTGCTAGCATTACCATGCCTATACTCTAGCTTGTGGCTAGTCCACCCTTCCAGGTAATTAGCATCCAGTGAAGAGGCGGTCATCTCTGCACACTTAGGCTAGTCAAGTACCCAGGACATAGGGTGGCCCAGTAAATGTTTCCTTAATTGAATTGAGCTGAACGGAACTCAACTGAAGTGATGTAGAGTTTATCAATGTCACTCCACTCCTTAATAATTATGGCTCCTGTTGGCCACCATCTCTTCCCAGCATCTGTGTTCAGATACATTTTATTTTCTCTTTCAGGACAGATTTTTGTAGCAGTTCCTCTCCTCTGGTTTAAACTTAGCCACGTGCCTTCCCTTAGCCACAAATCAAATAGCTTTATCTGTGCCACTTTGCTTAAACTTGTTCAGGATTTGCCGAGTCCACCTGTGCCACAGGGTCATGGAGAGTGTGTGTGGATCCTGCCCTACATACACAGTCCCTAATCCAGTCAGTAGTTACTGGGCACTTACTACATGCTGGGCCTCTACTGGGCACTGGAGGTACAGGGGGTAAGCCAAACAGGTCCCCTGCCCTCAGAGGCTTCCACTCTATCGGGAAGAAAATATAATACAGCAGTCATTACAAATGAGATGAGCATTGCTAAACATTAGCATAGAGTGTAGTGTAGGGCAGTCTACTCTTGTTGGGGAAGGAAGACAGTGAGGAAGTCGCATATCAGATGAAGCCTGAAGGATTAGTAGGACTTGGGGGGCAGAGACAGAGATGAAGACTGTGACGGGCAAAGGGAAGAATACGTGTGAAAGCCTCAAATAGGAAAAAGCCATTGGCATTGGAGAACCAGAAAGGAGGTCTGTTGTTGCTGGAACAGAAAGGGCAAGGGAACAGGAAAGGGCAATGGGGCAGGCCAAGGCCAGAAGGCCTTCCAGCTCTTCACTATGGAAAAGTGATTGCTTCTCTCCATGGATCATTTTTCCTGCATTTTGATGCCCTCCAAAAATTCCAGAATGCCTTGGACTACATTGGCCTAGTTCTCCTTCTCAGAAACAGGAGGCCAAGGTTTGGGGGATTTCATTTGATGGTGCAGGCCTTTTTTAAATTTAATTTTTAAATTTCAAAGATGTATTAGAAAAAGATAGATCAAAATGTGTTGATAAGGCAGTCAACATGAAGAGAAATAAAAGCAGAAAAATAAAGCTGAAGACAGGGTATGTACCTAAGAATACATGCCATAACGTGAGCTAGACATTTGACTGTGAGCCTCCTAATAGCCAAAGCAAAAAAGGAAAGCAGATCTATGACAGGTGTCCCTAATGCCCTCAGTTGTGTTATTTGTTCTCATACAGGAGAACCTCAATCTCTGGGAATTGGAAGGCTAATACAGGCTCTGCCATGCTGGAGCAGGTGGCCATGACGGAAAGGTAAGAGACAAAGGAGGTGTGGGGACAGGCACCATTCATGGTGGGAACTGGAGGAGGGATATAAGGAGCCTCCTTACCCTCTGTCCCATGCCTCATGACCCACGGAGCAATTTCCTAGGCATGATCTCCTTTACTCCCCACAATAACCCTGTAGGGTTGGTATTATAAATAACTCCATTTTACATGTGGAAGAAGAAAGTTCAGAGAGGGGAAGTGACTTGCCCAGGGTCATGAAACTGATCAATGGAAATCTGAGAGTAGAACCCTGACGTCTTGACTCCAAGTACAAGGGTCTCCCCGGCCTTACCCAGCTGCTTCTGGTAGAGAGCAGAGAGCCCTTGCCAGCCCTCCTATGCTCTGACAAATGCATGGGAGCCTCCTTATTAGGGCATCAGGGGTACTGGGGAGTCCACTCCTCTCTTAGGCTTATTTCCAACTCAGTATGTATAGAGAGAGGCTGATTTTCCATGAATATCTCTGGCGTGTGCTCTGGCTGAAGGTTCCAGAACAGAGGCCCTCTCTTACACAAGTACTTTAAACACTGTTGTGTGCCACACTAGCCTGGAGAAGGGCCCAGTCACCTGCCCTTCACCTGCCCATCACCAACACATGCACATTCTTTGCTACATGTCCAGTGACCTCTGCTTACAAGCATGTAATGGTAGTGGACAGAGCCTGGGCTTTTGAGGTCAGAAAGTTCTGCTCAGTAAATATTTATTGAGTACCTACTGCGTGCCATGTTGTGCTGAGCAATGAAGAAACCAAGCTGAAAAGAACTTGTATCGTTACGAACGAGTCCCTGGGTGGTGCAAATGGTTAACACACTGGCTCGGCTGCTAATGGAAAGGTTGAAGGTTCAAGTCTACCTAGGGGCACCTCAGAAGAAAGGCCTGGCCATCTACGTCTGAAAAATCAGCCATTTAAAACCTTTGGGGCACAGTTCTAATCTGACACACATGGGTTTTTTTTTGTTGTTGTTTCTCTTGTTTTGTTTTGTTTTTTAATCAGTTACAAGTGTCAGAAACACAGATCAAAGTGGCTTGAGCAAAAAGCAGGAGTTTTATCTTATGTCACTGAAAATTCCAGAGACACAACTTATTCACTACCCCACCTCTTGGTTCAAATATCATCTGCATTGGCTTCATTCCGTAAGGCTCTCGCACATGGCGGCCCATAGTGGCTCCAGGCTTACATCCTCACAGTGTCAAGTAGCACAAAGAAAGCTTCTCTTTCCCAATCATTTCAACCAAAGCCTGGAATTGGGTCTCATTCCCTCTGACTGGCCTGGCTTAGATCACATGACCATCATTGACCCAATAATTTTGGCCCAGAAAGATACAATGCTATGATTGGACAAGTCTATGTCATATCCCTGACCCTAGAGGTTGGAGCAGGACCACCTGCTATAGCAAAAATGACTAAGTGAGACTCAGAGAGGGATATAATGCCAAGGAATATCAAGAACTCTTTAGTAGAAGGGAAAATAAATGCTGTTCCAATTAAAACAACAGATTCCACTCCAGGCTTCCCAGATGATTAAGAAGATAAAGAGACAATTGCAGTGCAGTACAGTAATGTAAATTAAGATGTTGGCAAAGAATATTGAATATACCATGGACTGCCAGAAGAACAAACAAATCTATCTTGGAAGAAGTACAGCCAGAATGCTCCTTAGAAGCAAGGATGGCGAGACTGCGTCTCATGTACTTTGGACATGTTATCAAGAGGGACTGGTCCCTGGAGAAGGACATCATGCTTGGCAAAGTAGAGGGTCAGCGAAAAAGAGAAAGACTCTCAAGGAGATGGATTGACACAGTGGCTGCAACAATGGGCTCAAGCATAACAACAATTGTGAGGATGGCGCAGGACTGGGCAGTGTTTTGTTCTGTTGTACATGGGGTCGCTATGAGTCAGAACTGACTCGACAACACCTAACAACATAACAACAACAACAACAGTAATGTTAGGATGAAAGTGAGCCCAGGGTGCTACAGTGGGAGTACAGAGAAGGGGCACCGATCCCAGACTAGGGAAGGGTGAGGTCAGGGAAGGCTTCCTGAAGGAGGTGGTGGAAAAATCTAGTCTTAAAGAATGAGTAGGAGTTGGCAGTCATTCATTCATTCATTCTTTTGTCATTTTTTTCTTGAGCGCCAACTGGGAGCCAATTATCAAGTTAGGTACAGGCCACCACCCCTCTGTCAGTTTGTCGTACTTTGGTGGCATGTGTGTTGCTGTGATGTTGGAAGCTCTACCACTGGTATTTCAAATACCAGCAGGGTCACCCATGGTGGGCAGTTTTTGGCAGAGCTTCCAGACTAAGACAGACTAGGAAGAAAGGCCCAGTGATCTACTTCCGAAAATTAGTTGTTGAAAACCTTATGGATCACAACAGAATATTGTCCGATACAGTGCTGAAAGATGAGGTTCCTAGGTTGGAAGGCACTCAAAATACACAGTGACTGTAACAATCGACTTGAACACCAACGATCATGAAGACGGCACGGACTGGACAACATTTTGTTCTGTTGTACATGAGGTCACCATGAGTTGGAGCCGACTCGACAGCCACTAGCAACAACAACAACAACAACGGACACAGTGGCAAACAAGAGGGAAATAGTCCCTGCCCTCACGGGGCTTCCAGGACAGGGGCTCTAGCTGAGGAAACAGCATGAACAAACGTGAGTGACCCTGCCACCTCCTAGCTGTGTGACCTTGGATAAGTTAACTAACCCTTCTGAGCTTCTTCAACTGTAAAAGAGGGATAATAATACCCAAGTCAGGGTGCTATTTGCAGACCAAATGAGAGAGGAATGTGCAGGCGCACCATAAGGACGGGCTTCCTTCCCTTCCCATCAGCCCCAAGTAACAGGTACTACCTTCAATCTTAGGACTCAGATATGCTAACTGGTGCACATTAGCTGGCACACTGAATCATCTGGACTGGGGCAGTCACATCTCTCCCCCAATGGACATTCATGGGACATTTGTGGCCCTTTTCAAGACAGCCTTTCCCAAATATGAGCCCTAGCCTTCCCCAGCACCCACCAGCTGCTCACGGATGGCCCCAGCAGGCCACTATCTCCCTGGCCCTACTGGGTCCCAGGTTACATGGAAAATTGCTGCAGGATTTTGGCATGGGAGTGGGGCTGCTCCAGCCTGGAATTCACTTTCCCCTCTGCAAAGTCATGGGCAGCACTCCAGGGCCGGGACCCAGCTCTGCTATCGCATCCCCGCAAGGGTGCAGTTACTGGGGTCCGTAAACAGGCCCTGAGCCTGACCCCTCACCCCATTTGGCTCACCTGCTGGCCAAGTAGCCTGCCTCCTCAGCCAAACCAGTAATGTGGTTTGGTCGGTGCTAGACCCACCTGGCTGGAGGGAATGTGGACCCTAAGTTCTCCAGCCTCCCCCACACTGCTCCACCCTTGAAGTCCCTTCCTTGGCCCCTAGGGGGCCTGGAACCCAATGGGATGCAGCCAGCAGGTGACCCAGAAGTTCATGGTTTGTAAACAGCCCCTGGAAACCAGTTGCCTCTGGGCCTAGCTCAAGGCTTCCAGCTTCTCCTGCGAAGAAATCTGATTTATGAGTGTCTCAGGATGCAGATTTCCCTAAGCTGGGATGCCCCACAAGTTAGCCATTGGTGCCTAGTACAGAAACCTTGATCAGACAGCACATGAGGCCCTTAGAGCTCTCTAAGGGGTACACCTCAGATCTGGCTGCACATCAGAATCACAGGAGAAGCCTTTTCAAAATTATAGATTGTTACAAAATAAGACAGAGCCCCAAATCTGGGTGTGTGGGTGCATATGTGTGTGTGTGCGTTTGGCTCTCCTGGTGATACTAATGCACATGAAGAACCAGATCTAGGCCTCCCCCATTTTACAGATAAAGAAACTGAGGCTGCAAGAAGGAGAGGATCATCCAAAATTATTCAGGAAGGGTGGCTTGCTTGGACTAACAGCCGAGCATGTTAACTGTTTGTACAACTGTTTATACAAACAGTTAACATGCTGGGCTGCTAACTGAAAGGCTAGAGATTCCAGTCCACCCAGAGGCACCTTGGAAGAAAGGCCTGGCAACCTACTTCTGAAAAATCAGCCACTGAAAACCTCATGAACAGAGTTCTACTCTGATACACATCAGAGCTGACTCAATGACAACTGGTTTTGTTTTAGTGGGCATGCATGGACTCCAGAACCAGAATCTGGGTTTGGAAGCTGGCACAGTCACTTATTAACCTCTCTGAGTCTTGGTTTCCTTGTAAGTAAAATGAGTTAAAACCTTCCTGATGGCGTCGTTGTGGGATTAAAGAGAAAAGAAGAAAAACTCCCCAAGCCTGGCACATCATAGGAGTTCAACAGCTGTGAGTTTCCTCCTTCCTTTCACTTCTGTCATCTCACGTGCTTCTCGCTACAGTTAAATGAGAGAACTGGACTAGGACCCAGGAGATCTGGATAATCCTGCCTTGCTGTGTGACCTTAGCAATCCGCTCTCCCTCTCTGGGACTCAGTGAGCATTAGTGGATAAAATGAGAGGGTTGGTTCTAAGACCACTTCAGGCCTTGACCTCTCTTGAAGCAAGAACATTGACACAAAGTCCCCTGTGACTCCCAAATCCAGCCACCCCAAGGGAAGCCAAGTGCAAGCCGGGAAGATTTCTCTGGATACAACCACCCCCTTGTTGCAGGTCAAAGTCCAGTGTTGAGATCTCTCCCCTGCAAAGCAAACTGGCCTTGCAGCCATCAAGTGGCTGGAAAGGGAGCAAAAGCCGAGGGGTCTGGAGGGCCATGCCCCCGGGCCAGGCAGGAGCAGCCTGCCCGGTTCCCTTGCCTGCCGGGTCCGGGCTCCAGGGAGAATGCGCCCTTTGCCCTCCTCCAGTTCTTGACAGGCCTGGACCCTGGGGGCTGGGAGGGCAGCCTGGCAGGGCCTTCTGGAGCCCTTGGAGCAGCTTTCCCAAGGGAAAAAATGTGCAGGAGTAGCCTGATGTCTGGATGGCTCCAGATGGGGCCAGAGCAGGCAACCCACTACTAGGGAGCCAGCAAGGTCCTGGGGTGGAGGAGGTCTCTGATCTCTCCTAATTCTCACTCCATCTCTCCCTCACCTTCCTCATTCCTGTCCTTCCTGGCTCCCTGTGTCCCCTCTTCTGGTCTCTCTCCCTCTGTCTCTCCTGTTGGTGTTTGCCTCCCTTTGTATCCCACTCTCTCTCTCACTGTCCCCCTCCCTTTCTCTCTCTCTCTCTCTCTACCTCTGTTTCTACCTCTGTGTGTCTGTCTCTCCCACTGTCTCTCCTGCTCCTTCTCTGCCCCCTCTATCTCTCACTGCCTCTCTGTGTCTCTCTCACTGCCTGTTTTTCTCTGTGTCTCTCCATGCCTGCTCCCTTCCCTGCCCCTCCCCTGCACGCACTGTCTGTCTCTCCATCCCTGCAGGTACAGGCTGTGGGTGGACAGCTGCTCGGAAATGTTCGGTGGCCTGGACATCTGTGCTGTCAAAGCCGTCCACAGCAAGGATGGCAGAGATTACATCATCGAGGTGAGGGATAAAGCAATGGCAGGCGTGCTGAGGGCAGGGATCCAAGCTGAGGTCTCCAGCAGTGCTCAGCTGTGTCCTGGCTCCGGGCCTGGGCTCACGAAGCCCAAGCCTCAGTGAGCAGCTTCGGGAGGCTTCTCACTAACTGCCCTCATACACCTCCTCCTCCCACCCTCAGCTGCATCACCATGGCGACTGCCCAGGCATTCTGAACTGGGCCTCCAGAGCCCAGCGCATGAGGTTTGACAGTCTTTCCCCAACCTGTGGCCTAAGGGTAGGGGAAGAGCATTAGGCCGAGAGTCAGCAAGATTCTGCCCCACTGGGCCTCTTAAATTTCCTCAATGTTCAAGTGTGTGAAATGGGCACACTTCCCCGTTCACCATTCAGAGATTCCATCATTTGTTCATTTAGTAAACTTGTGCTTAAGGGCTCCCATGGGCTAGGCATGGGGTATGGCTCTGGGGACACAGAGGTGAATAAGACAGACATGTGGTTTGCAGGCTGGAAGGGAAGAAGGATGATAAAGGAGTGATGGCAGGGTGTTGGAGGTTAGAGTGGAAATGGAGGGAAAGGTGTGGGGATATACAATCATACGGGAGAGGCTCTCAGATGAGCTGTGGGTCCTAGAATCTCTCCCAGGGCACTCCTGCACTCCGTGCCTCTCACAGGCCCACAGCCTTCTGTGTCCTCCAGCACCGTCTCCCCCATGTCTCTGTGGTCCCACAATCCTCCTCTCCCCTCCACAACTTCCCCACTGTGATTCTCCCAATCCCACAATCCCCCTCTCTCCCCCAGAGCTGTCGCCTCCAGATCTCTCATGGTCCCACAATCCTCCTCTCTCCTCCAAGACTGTCTACCCCATGTCTCCCATGGTCCCACGATCCCCCTCTCTCCTCTAGGGCTGTCTCCCCCATGGCTCTCACGGCTCCTCAATCTCCTCTCCCCTCCACAACTCCCCGAGTGCATCTCCCAAACCCACAGTCCCTACACCACAACTCCTCCCATATTCCATATTATCTCATAATCCTCCTTTTATCCCAACTCCCCTTCAGTACTTCTCACACTCCTACAGTCTCCATCTCTCCTCCATGACTCCCCAATGTCTTTTGTTGTCCCACAGTCATCCTCTTCCCCCAGCTTCTACTCCAAGCTTCTCCCTATCCCACAATCCCCCTCCCTCCTCCAGGACTCCTTCTCTCCTGTCTTCAGCTTCCCTTTCCTGCCCACCACCACCACACTTCATGGATGTCTCACTGACTTCCTCCAAAAATACCACTCTAGCCTCAGAGTTCTCCCTTCTCTCCCTGACTTCCCATCTCCGCACACACACCCCAGCGCCCCTTTCAGCCCCTTCTGTGGCCTCTCCTCAAACCGCAGCAGAGGGCAGGACTGACACAAGGCCAAGACACGTGAGGGAGAGCCCTGCGGCTGCCCCAGACCCAGGCTGTGGGTGGCGAATGGAAAGCACGTGGCTGGGGTGACCACACGAACCAGGCAGTCCTCTAGTCCCTCATGCCTGCTTCACTCCCCAGGGACCCACAGCACGGCAGGACCAGGGGACTCCACGGCAGCAGCCTGCTGTTCTCCACCAGCCATGCCAGGAGCAGGAGGGGACTGGCACTCATGCTCAGGAGTAGCTGCCCTTCCAGGGGGTTTGGGGGGAAAGTCCACAATGGACACAGTCTCTCTACTCTCCCCGAAGGCCTAGAAACTCCCTCAGGATGAGGAGATATTTGCAGATCCGTCCTCAAGCCCAGGAACTGATTTCCCTCTGGCTGCCGCAGTGCCTGAAATTCCCCCATTAGCTCCTTCTCGAGGGAGACATTGAAGGCGCCAAGAATAGAATGACTGACCCTTGCACACTTGCTTCTGAGCCCAAGTCAGACTGCTCCCTGGAGGAGCCTCTCTCCTACCCTCCTGAGGGGGACCTTGTGGCCCCTAAGACCCCATCTGGCCCTCCTGCATCTGCATCTTATCAAGGAGACCACCAGACCTGAGCCCAGCTCTGGCACACATGCAGACACGCACTCATTCACTCCCTCATTCACTATTGAGCACCTACTCTGGGTCCCAGACCTCCAGCCAGGCAACGGGGATACAGTAGTGAACACAATAGCAGGGACCCTTCCTCCTGGAGCTCCCATTCCAGGACGGTGACAGGCAATCAACAGATCAAGGGAGGGAGCCCCTCCCCGAGTTCTCCTCCCCCTGCCTTGTGAGGAACCCCTCCTTCTCCCTTGCGTTAGCTTCATCTCTGCCCCCTATGTCTCTGAGGGCTGGGCCAGGGCCCAGTGAGGCCCGTATGCAGTCAGTACTCAGGGATTGTTGATGAAGGAGGGAAGAGAAAGGGGAGAAAGAAAGGCAGTCAGTGAATTCCTCAGAAGAGCCAAATGTGGCTGTCAGGGCATTTCAGACAGACACACATTCACTAAAGGAATTTTTTTTTTTTTTTTTTTTTTTTTTAGCGTGAAAGCAGTACCAAACATCCGGTCCACCTAAGATGCTTCAGAAGGCCCTTAGGGGTCAAGCAGGGCCTCTGAGATCTAATTATGAACATTAGTTTAGGTTTATACCCTGAAGTGCCACAGAGCAAATTAAAGAACAGCCCCAGCAACAAGGTTTGAGGTAACAGAGACTTCATTCAGGGTACCAGTTTACCGGTTGCCATCGAGTTGATCCAACTTGTGTGTGTTAGAGTTGAACTGTGCTCCATAGAGTTTTTAATGGCTGCTTTTTCACCAGGCCTTTCTTCCAAGGTGCCTCTAGGTAGACTCGAACCTCATACTTTTTGGTTAGCAGCCAAGTACATTACTATTTGTACCACCCAGGGATTCCTCATTCAGGGAGCAGTGTTTTAAAAGCATGGACTCCAGAGTAAGAAAAAGCTGGGTTTGAGTCCTAGCTCTGCCACTTGCTGACCTCAGTTTGTTCATCTCTAAAATGGGACTCGAAGCACACGTACCTCATAGGATTGAATGAGCTCATGTAGCCAAAATGTCTGGTCGATAAGAAGCACCCAATAATATTAGCTGCTGTTTACTTAGTGAATGCTTACTATGTGTCAGGCAAAGTACTTGTCCCAACAGAGCGTGAAATGACTTCTCAAGGTCACATAATTAGTAATAAGATTTAGAGTCAGTCCCACAAGTTAAGATTTGAATCCAAGCCTGTCAGACACCAAATCCCCTGGATGTTGGCTACACTGCGGAGACATCTTTGAGTGTCACTTCCTCAGATTGCCCTGGCTCTCTGTCCAGCGCTCGCTCCATTAAAGGACTTTGCTTCCCTGAGTTTCCTCAACATTCACTCTTAGGAAGAAAAAAAATCTGTCCCTGTAGGCCCAGGCTCCCTGTCTCCAGACATTCAGGGGGTCAGGAATAAAAGACCTTTCACATTAAGAAAAAGTAAAATTAGTGGGTTTGGTCGTTGAAAAACAAGAAAACACTTCCCAGAAATGTTCCAGGAGGAAAGAAAAAAAAATGTATGGCTTTTCAGAATTTTTTTTTCTCTAAGAAACATTACAAAGTTGTTTTTCTTGCTTTGGGGTTTAGGCTGGAATAGGGGGGAGATGGAGAGCTTGTTACCAGGAATGTAAAAGGTATTTATCCCTAGGAAGAAAAAAAAGGCGGACAGATCCAAAAATACTGATGTATTCAGCCACCTCTGTGGTGAGAACAGAAAATTCATGTGAGATGTTTTGTGGATGTCCTCATGGTGAACTACTCAGAGGAAAGACCCTTGAACTTGTCCCTTCTGACCTGTCCAGACAATGACACTGCTCACTGGGAAAACATGTTTCCCTGAGGAGACCGGAGTATCGACTTCCTCTGGTAGTGTCCACTATGGGGGTTCCAAAATTCTCTGCGCTCGAGTTCCTTGTGGTGGCTGTGATCCACCACAGGGAATGTAGGAAACAAAGACCAGAGCAGAAAGGGGTGGGCAGGAGAAAGAAGAGAAGAGAGGGCAGACAGGGTGTAGAAACTTGTGTCCATTGGGGATGGACTCCCTAATTATAACTCAACTCCGCCACCGTTGACCGAGAGGCTATTCATGTACCAGGCCCTGTGCTGGGCACAGGGATCCTGGAATGTCTCAGACCTAGGCCCAGCCCATGAGAAGCCCAATTTGAAGACAGTTTTCAGGATCTTGCTAGAATGTATTCATATCCTTGAGTTGACTTTTCAGCTTCCCAACCACAGTGGATTCTTTAGATTCATAGACCTCTGAAAGTCCCAGCTGGAAGGGCCCTAGCAGCTGCCCCAATCACTCAGGATACTGTTGAGGGAAAAAAAAAACAATGGACCCATAAAGGGAAAGTGACTTGCCCAAGACCACACAACAAGTCTGTAGCAGAACTTAGGCCTGGAACTCAGGTTTCCTGGTCCCAGTTCTTACCACCAAGAGCTGTTCCAGTTCGTGGTGAGATTTAGCCTGATAACAGCTCTGTGGGGCAAGCTCTCCAGTGTCAAAAAGTGAGGGCAGAGGGGGTAGAGACGAGAGTCAGCTCATCAGAGAGGGCTTCCCAGAGGAAGGGAGTATCAAGGTGTTTCCAGATAGATGAGAGGGAGTTAGCCAGGTACAGAGTGGGCAGAGACACAAAAGGTGGAAACAACCTAAATGCCCATCAACAGATGAATGGATAAATAAAATGTGGTTGTTGTTGTCATTTGTTGTTAGGTGCCATCAAGTCAGTTCCAATTCATAGCGACCCTGTCTGTGTACAACAGAATGAAACACTGCCCAGTCCTGCACCATCCTCACAATCGTTGTTATGCTTGAGCCCACTGTTGCAGCCACTGTGTCAATCTATCTCGTTGAGGGTCTTCCTCTTGTTCGCTGACCCTCTACTTTACCAAGCATGATGTCCTTCTCCAGGGACCAGTCCCTCCTGATAACATGTCCAAAGTACATGAGACGAAATCTCGCCATCCTTGCTTCTAAAGAGCATTCTGTTCTAAGCAGCATCGTTTGTTCTTCTGGCAGTCCATGGTATATTCAATATTCTTCACCAACACCATAATTCAAAGGCATGAATTCTTCTTCGGTCTTCATTATTCATTATCCAGCTTTCACATGCATATAAGGCAACTGAAAATACCAAGGCTTGGGTCCGGTGCACCTTAGTCCTCAAAATAGCATCTTTGCTTTTTAACACTTTAAAGAAGTCTTTGGCAGCAGATCTGCCCAATTCAATACATCGTTTGATTTCTTGACTGCTGCTTCCATGGGTGTTGAGTGTGGATCCAAGTAAAATGAAATCCTTGATAACTTCAATCTTTTCTCCGTTTATCATGATGTTGCTTATTGGTCCAGTTGTGAGGATTTTAGTTTTATGTTGAGATGTAATCCACACTGAAGGTTGTAGTCTTTGATCTTCATCAGTAAGTACTTAAAGTCCTCTTCACTTCCAGCAAGCAAGGTTGTGTCATCTGCATAACACAGATTTTTAATGAGTCTTCCTCCAATCCTGATGCCCCATTCTTCTTCTTATAGTCCATATTTTCAGATTATTTGCTAAGCATACAGTTTAAATAAGTATACTGAAAGGGTACAACCCTGATGCACACTTTTCCCTAATTTTTAAACCAGGCAGTATCCTCTCGTTCTGTTTAAATGACTGCCTCTGTGTATGTACAGGTTCCTCATGAGCACACTTAAGTGTTCTGGAATTCCCATTCTTCACAGTGTTATCAGTAATTTGTTATGATCCACACAGTCAAATGCCTTTGCATAGTCAATAAAACACAGGTAAACATCTTTCTAGTATTCTCTGCTTTCAACCAAAATCCATCTGATATCAGCAATGATATCCCTCATTCCACATCCTCTTCTGAATCCTGCTTGAATTTCTGACAGTTTCATGTTGACGTACTGCAGCAACTGTTTTTTAATTATCCTCACCAAAATTTTACTTGCATGGGATATTAATGATATTGTTTGATAATTTCCACATTCTTGGATCACCTTTCTTTGGAATGGGCACAAATATGGATCTCTTCCAGTCAGTTGGTATATACATACAATTAAATATTACTCAGCCATAAAGAGAAATGAAATGCTGATGCATGCTACAACATGAACCTTGAAAACATTATGCTGAATGAAATAAGTCAGTCACAGAAGGACAAATATTGCATGATCCCACTTACATGAGACATCTAGAATTGGCAGATGTATAGAGAGCAAAGGTTTTTAGTGCTTACCAGGGGTGGAAGGGAGGCAAAAAGAGGAGTCACTGCCTAGGGGGCTCTGAGTTTCGGTTAAGGATGATGGGAAAATTTGGAAAAGGATAGTGGTAATGGTTGCACAACATGATGAATGTGGTCAATGTCACCAAATTATACACGTAAAAATTGTTGAATTGGCAAATGTTTTGTTTTATATATATATCAAAACCAAAACCAAAACCAAACCCACTGCCATTGAGTCGATTCCAACACATAGTGACACCATAGGGTTTCCAAGGCTGTAAATCTCTACAGAAGCAGACTGCCACACCTTTCTCCTGCCAAGAAGCTGGTGGTTTCAAATGGCCGATCTTTTGGTTAGCAGTCCATTGGTATCTAAAAAAAAAAAGAAAGCTAGTGGGCAGAGGGAATGACAGGCATAAAGCCCTGGAGGAGAGAGAGAACCTATCAAGGCCAAGGCTTTGGAGAAGAGAAGACAAGAGTGTGGGCTTGATGGGTGTTGGGTGGGCAGAGCAGAGAGAGGGATGGGAGTGACCACCCAGCTATTCCTCAGGCCTGCCAAGACTTGACTCCCCTTCAAAACCTTCTACGGCCGCCTGTGTCTGGAGAATCACCTGGATCATTGGCCTATGTGATTTGGGCAAGTCCCTTCCCGGCTCTGGGCTTCAGTTTCCCCATTTGTAAAAAGGCAAGGATGGGCTCCTATGACCCCCTCAGACTCCTCTCCCAGATAAGTGCTATGCTTCCTGTGAGAAACAGCGGCTGCCTGTGGAAAGGGTTTAGCTCCAGGCGTGTGTTCTGCCAGGGCACCAGAGAACAGGCCTTTCCTCTTCCCTCTTCTCTTTGAACCCCGGGTCAACTCCAGGCCATGTAATTTTTTTGTTCATAGTAGAGCCCCCACCTTCATTGTTTCCGGCTTTGTGGAAAGCCTTGACCTTGGGCCAAAGGAGAAGAGGCCAGCCCTGACCCTGGGCAGGAAAAGAGGGGGTGGAAACCAGCTCCCCAAAGAAAAGTGCAGAAAAGGCCAGCAAAGGCTCCCGACCTCGGGTGCATTGCTATAGCCTGACGAATGCGGGCTGAACTGAACTTAATCCAATGGAGTTGATTCAGATTGAACTAAAGAGAGCTTGTTGTCTCTGCTGCTGAGGTGCTGGGCTGGCGGGTTTGTGTGGAGAACATCGCCATCTAGTGGTCACTTCAGTCCCGAGCCCTGAGCCAGGCCTGGGACACGCTGCCCAGCTGCCAGGGTACCCTGCATGAGGATCCCTCAGCCCTTCTTTCTCTCCCTGCAGGTGATGGACAGCTCAATGCCCCTGATTGGAGAGCATGTGGAAGAGGACAGACAGCTGATGGCCGACCTGGTGGTCTCCAAAATGAGTCAACTCCTGATGCCAGGGGGCACAGTGCCCTCTCCTTGGGTAAGGTCCCCAGGAGCAAAGGAGACTTGGCAGCCATAAGAAATTCTGGGCTCAAGAGATACCCCTACAAAGGAGCTACCTGGGGAGAAAGGAACAGGTGTGGGCAGAGGCGGGACATGGGGGAGAGCTTCTGCACCCTGCTCCTGACCCGTGAATTTGGGAGCCTCTGCAGGGGCCCCTCCTCCCTCCAGCACCCTGAGGAGAAAATCTTGTCTCTAGTGGGCTTTGAGCATCTGTGGGCAGAGACTGTTAACACAAGAAGTCAGTTGACCCTGCCTTGCCCTCCATCCTGAGTCTGAACTGGTGTGTGTGTGTGTGTGTGTGTGTGTAAGTATATAAGTGTGTGTCTACACACATGCCCTTTATGTGTTCCCAGGGTACCAGTCAATAGAGACTATTATGTCTTACATTTCCCCAACCCCCAGGCTCAACAAGCTCCCACATAGCTCCTCCTCTTCCACAATCCCCACCATGGACTACCACACAATTCTCCAGATAATTTACCAGCCTCCCAGCTTTCTGCAAAAGCTAATGTCAAAACCTACCCTCCCTTTCCCCAGAAAAACTAATCTACAATAACAGAGGTCAGAATAATGGTTATCCTTGAGCGAGGTGTGAGCTGGGACAGGGCATGGCGCAGCCTTCTGGGAAATGTCTGTGTCTTAATCTGGGTTGTGGTTACAGAAATGTAAACATATGTAAAAAATTTATCACACTGGACACTTAAGATATGCCCACTTTATGTGAGTTTTACCTCAACAATAACAAGATCTTTTTTAAAACCTGTCCCCTACCTACACACACACACACACCCAGAGAGTTAGTGGCTGTGGTGATCACAATAGGCTTCTTTTCTCCTGCTCTAGGCTCCACAAACAAAGTCAGCAAAATCTCCAGGACAAGCTCAGCTGGGGCCTCAGCTGGGACAGCCCCAGCCACGTCCACCCACACAAGGTATGCCCTACTGCCAGCCAAGGAGAGAACCCACCTCAGTGAGGGTGTCAAATGCATCATGGGAGCCACGTGTGATTTCCAGACGCACTCTGGAAAATCCATCTTAAGACTATCCACAGAATACGTGCGCTAATTCCTTGTGCAGTGTTATGGATTGAATTGTGTCCCCTAAAAATGTGTATCAACTTGGCTAGGCCATGATTCCCAATATTGTGTGGTTGTCCACCATTTTGTGATTTGATGTGATTATCCTATGTGTTATAAATCCTAACCTCTATGTTAATGGAGACCTGGTGGCACAGTGGTTAAGAGCTAGGGTGTTCACCAAAAGGTCAGCAGTTCTAATCCACCAGTCACTCCTTGGAAGCCCTATGGGGCAGTCTACTCTGTCCTATAGGGTCTCTATGAGTCGGAGTCAACTCAATGGTAAAGGGTTTGGTTTTGCGTTTGTGATGTTAATGAGGCAGGACTCAATCTACAGAATTAGGTTGTATTTTAAGTCAATCTGTTTTGAGATATAAAAGGGAGAAGCAAGTAGAGAGGAGAGGAACCTCATGTCACAAGAAAGTAGTGCTGGGAGCAGAGTGCATCCTTTGGACCTGGGGTCCCTGTGCTAAGAAACTCCTAGACTGGGGAAGATTGATGACAAGGACCTTCCCCTAGAACCAACAGAGAGAGAAAGCCTTCCCAGGGAGCTGGCACCCTGAATTCAGACTTCTAGCCTCATAGACTGTGACAGAATAAATTTGTTAAAGCCATCCACCTGTGGTATTTCTGTTACAGCAGCACTATAACTAAGACATGCAGAATGCATGAGACGATGAAGTTTCGCATTCCCTTAAGGTCAGGATAGGAGGAAGAGAAGACAGAAAGTGAATGTATTAATTACATAACATATGCCAGGCACTGTACTAGGTACTTCCCCATCTGTTTTCTCATTTTATCCTCCAACCACTCTACAGTGAAAACATTTATATTTCTTTTTCTCAGAGGTGGAAGTTGAGGCTTTGTCCAAGGAGGAACAAGAAAACGGCAGGTTTAAAAGGCTGGCCTTTCAGATCTCCTAGAAAGTGTTTAAGCTTCCCAGCCACTAGTTGTGCCTGATTATAGATTTGCAAGTCAACCAGCTAGAGAACGAAAGAAAAATGGAACATTAAATATAACCTTCTCAATTGAAATTCTTCCTCAGAAAATAGTCATTACTACATTGTTGTTAGTTGCGTCGAGTTGGTTCTGACTCATGATGACCTTATGTGTAACAGAATGAAACACTGCCCAGCCCTGTGCCATCTTCCAGCACTCTATTGGACCATATTCTGTTGTGATCCATAAGGTTTTCATTGGCTAATTTTTAGAAACAGATCGTCAGGCCTTTCTTCCTAGTCTTAGTCTGGAAGCTCCACTAAAAACTGTTCACCATGGGTAGCCCTGTTGGTATTTGAAATAGCGGTGGCATAGTTTCCAGCATCATAGCAACACACAAGCCACCACAGTACGACAAACTGAAAGGCAGGTGTGACTATTAGAGAATGCCTGAACTATTGGTAACTAGAGAAAAAGTAGTAGTGGCGATCACTTAAGTAACTTTCCTGCTGAAAGCCAGCTGCTTTCTCACAGACTCAGGAGATGACTCACTCTGCCTCCCTCCTTGGAATCAAATGCCTTCTGGGTACGGTGCATTGCTCTCGTGCCTGCCCCGGGGCTTCAGAGCAGCTTTGCACCAAGAACTTCTAACAGGCAGCCTCACTGCAGTCTGTTAAGGGTCTACTTAAACCCTATGAGAAAGAAGGGGTTCCTGTCATGCCATGGTATTCCCAGTCACTTTTACTAGAGGCACAAGTTCATTGCTTCTTGGGAAAACCAGCCCTTGGCACTTTTAATGGCTTTCTCTTCCCGGCGCCTTAGATAAAATGATCTGTCCATCTTTCTTGTTTATGCTTCTTTCCCTAGAAAAGCAGAATGCATTCAAGGACAGGAAAATGGCATGATTGTTTAAACCCATGTATAAATGAACATTCTTCTTCTTCCCAGGCAGATATGAAGACAGACATTGAATCCAGTTCCATGTCTCACACCTTTGCAGTCGTAAGCAAGTTATATCACTTCTCCAATATATCAGCTTCTTCAGTTATAAAGTTACTGGGAGTTGGCCATGAGATCATGCTCGTGAAGCAACTAGCAAGGTGCCTGGCACAGAGTTAGTGCTACTCTAACAGAAATACCACTAGTGGATGGCTTTAAAGAAATTTATTTTCTCACAGTTCAGGAGGCTAGAAGTCTGAATTCAGGGCACCAGATCTAGGGGAAGGCTCTCTGTCAGCTCTGGGGGAAGATCCTTGTCTCGGCTTCTGTAGCCTCCGCCATTCCTCGGATCCTTGGCGATCTCCATGAGCCATCTATCCTCCCCGTTTGTCCTTGCTCCTGAGTCTAATCTGCTTTTTTAGAACTCAGAAGTGATTAGGTTTAGGACACATCCTACACTAAGGCTTCATTAACATAACAATGAAAACCCTATTGTCAATTGGGATTACATCCACAGGTACAGGGGTTAGGACTCCGACACATATTTTAGAGGGACAAAATTCAATCCCTAACAGTAGGTGTTAGCTGTTACTATTAATAATTTACTATTAATGATTATTCTGTTAACTCTATTAATAACTTGTGTGTTACTAACAATATACTTGTTCTTAATGACTGTTACTATTAATAATGATGATAACCAATGCAACCCCACTGCCCTCCTGCCTGGCAATACTTCTGTAGTGTAAATTTTCATCATTTATACTTATTCATTACCCCTACCAGGCACCTGGCTGTGCCCCTGCTCTGCCCCCATCTTTCTCACTCTGCCCCATGAAAACACATCTGAACACAGCACTCTGAAAACAGAGATCTCCTATATTGATTTCCTCTCCAGGCCAAGAGTAGAGATGTGCTTGATAAAGAGATTCTTCTAAGGGACATGAGGCTAAACACACTTTCAGTGAGCTGGAAAACAATCCATTTAAAACCAATTAAGGTAATTAAAGAAAATTCCCACTGAATTAACATCCAGATTAAGAATAACAAGGCTAATTAAAAAATCATGCTTTCATTGAGTTCCCAAAATAACAAGATCACATTATTAACTTCTTCATTTTCAACCCAGTAAAAGTGAAGCTTTCTTTCAATGAACTTCCTAATTTTTTAGCATTAATCCTGGGCTTAGGCAAATATTCTCTGTATGTAAGTTAATAGTTTTTGTATGGGTTCGAATGAAAAAGTACTACATTGTTTGCTTTGCAAGTAGCTGGAAGAAAAAACTACGTGTCTCTTGATGAATCCCACCTGTATAATAGGAACTCAACAACTAGTAAATAAATAAAGAGTATTCAGACTTTGCAAAGTACTGTGGGCTGGGGTAGGGGAATACTTAAGGTATAAGCAGAACACAGATGTTTGATGTGCACTGGGTTTAAAACTATAAAGTAAATCCATATTTAAAAATCAGGAGCTTTTCCTTAAACATCTCATTTCCAGCTTCTTTTGATAAAGCAGAAGCCGTAGAAATAATGGACCTGCATTCTTACATAGCAACTATCCACTGGTGTTCAATAGCACCTGCCCCCTTGAACATAGGAAAGACTCCCCTCTTTGCCCCAGGCCCTACTCCTCCTTATTGTCACACCACAATAATTTGAGTGTCAACTGCCATTTTCTTCATGTTTGCACCTCTATAGAGAAATAATTCTCTGAACCTATGTTTTTAGTTCAAGTAGGAGAAATTTTAAAGGTCACATGGTATTTTTTACACTCGCCTGCCTTATTTCTTTATGTACCCACCTGGCCCCATAGGTGTTGGAGTTTGAGCTCAATGGGTCTCCAATTTACTAGAATATATTGTTATGAAAAAGGTGAAAAATCAGGCAAAGGCTTGATCAATCAGTTCCCCTATGGTTATAAATGGTTAGGCGTTTATATTGCTTTTAGTTTTTTACTGTCATAAAAAAACACAGTAATAAACATCCATGGAGCTGTATTATTTGTGTACAGCCATTATTTATCCATTTGAACTTAAAAGTTTTCTTCCTGTAGGAGGCCCTCGCCAAGCTCCATCTTCTCAGCCCCCGAGATCTGGAAGCCCCTCCCAACAGAGGCTCTCCCCACAAGGCCAGCAGCCTCTGAGCCCCCAGTCTGGATCTCCACAGCAGCAGAGGTCACCAGGTTCTCCACAGCTGTCCCGGGCATCCGGTGGCAGCTCACCAAACCAGGCCTCCAAACCAGGCCTCACCTCTCAGCCCCGGCCCCCCGTTCAGGGCCGCAGCAGCTCCCAACAGGGTGAAGAGTCCAAGAAATCAGCACCACCCCACCCCCATCTCAAGTAAGTACTTTGGGAATTGGGAAGGGTACAGGGTGGAGTTGGGGTGTGGGCAGAGATGGGCCAATTCAGGGTCAGGGACTCAGAGACAAAGGAAGACCCAACAAGGCCTCATCTAGGCTTTAAATGGGTAGAAACAGGTCTGGAGGGTGAAACTTGGCCTGCAGGGCCCAGCAAGGTGAGAGTATAGATCAGGCCCCACTACGACCTTACACATATAAATGCATCAGTTATCTCTTGCTGCATAACAAACCACCCCAAAACTTAGTGACTTAAGAAAATAACCATCCTATTTGCTCATAATTTTGTGGTTTGTCAATTTGTTCTGAGCTTGACTCAGCTGGGAGGTTCTTCTTCTGGTCTCTCCTATAGAGTTGCCCGATAAAATACAGGATGCTCAGTTAAATTTGAATTGCAGATAAGCAATGAATATTTTTCAGTATAAGTATGCCCCAAATATTGCATGGGATATACTTATACTTAAAAAAAAAAATTTTTTTTTTAATCTGAAATTCAAATTTAACTAGGTGTCCTATATTTTTATTTGCTAAATCTGGTGACCCTACTCTCCAGGGATCATTCATATGACTGGTCATCTGGCAGCTCAAGTTGGGCCGGATGCTCCAAGAGGCCCTCACTCACATCAGTCATATATCTGGCTGTTGGTGCTGGCATCAGCTGGACCTCTCTTTCCATGGATCTCATCCTCCAGCAGGCTAGGCTGAGCTTCCTCACCTGGTAGAACTGTGTCCAAAAGGGCAAAAGTAAAAGCATCAAGGCCTCCTGAGGCCCAGCTTTGGAAGTCACACAGCATCATTCCATCTAATATTGATAATCATAGTTTGACAGCTAACATCTATTGTTCACTTTCTGTGCGCCAAGCACTTTATATAGTTAGTGTTTTGTTTTTGTTTTTCAATTCTCCAAAGCTTAGGAGTTAATTATTATTATCCTCATTTTTATAAATTAATTACACAGAGAAAGAGATTAAGTAACTTGCCCAAGATTCCACTGCTACTAAGTAGAAGAGCTGGGATTAAACTAAGGACATCCAGTCCAGTGATCATGCTAACCATTTTTTTTTTTAAATAGGTAACACATTCACATGGTTCAAAAAGGTAAAAGATACCAAAGATATGAAAAAGTATACATTAAAACACCCTGTTCCCAGCCCACTCTCATCCAATGCTTTGCTCCTTCCTGCTCCCTAGCAGTAACCACTTTGATTAGCCCCTTGTGTGTTCTTCCAGTGGTTCCTGATGCAAATACAAAGTATATGTTCAGATCCCCTCCCCTACTTCCTTACATAAATGGTAGTATTCGCTATACATACCATTCTGCCCCTTGCTTTTTTCATTTAACAGTAAGTCCTAGAGATCTTCTATCCAGTTTATTGAAAGTTTTCTCCTTTTTTATAGCTGCAAAGAATTCCTCTGTATAGTTGTACTATAATTTATCTAACAAATCCATCATAGATAGAAATTGGTTTGTGTTTACAAAGCTGCCACGAGTAACCTTGGAGATATATATATATATATATACTTTTTTTTTTTTTTTTTTACCTGTGCAGTTTTAACTGTAGAGAAAATACCTGAAATGGTATTGTTGGATCAAACGTATAAATGCATTTTTAGTTTGATAAATATTGGCAAATGGCCCTCCAGGCAATATGGCATAGTGTTTGACAGCTCAGAATCTAGGCTACCTAGGTTCAAATCCGAGCTCTAACACTTAACCTCTCCGTTCTTCAATATCCTCACATGCCAAGTGGGGACAATGATACTCACCTCATCTTTTATTGTATGAATTAAAATGAGTCAATGCACAGTTAGTGCTTAGAATGCTGCCTGACCTCTAAAATGCATATCTGTGTACAGCCTCTCACTATGTAAAAAGATGAAGGCCAGCTAATCACAGGACAGACAAGGGCTTTGGAACTTAAACCAGTCTGGATGCTGACTTTATAATAATCTAGCTGGGAACACTTAAATCTCCTAATTTGTTGCTTTTAAAAATATTATTTTGTTTTGCAGGTGACATGATCTTACATATAGAAAATCCTAAAGAATCCATACCAAAAAACCATTAGAACTAATAAATGAACGCGGCAAAGTTTCAGGATACAAGATCAAAAATCAGACAATCTGAAATGGAAATTAAGAAAACAATTTCATTTACAATAGCATCAAAAAGAACATAATACTTAGGAATAGATTAAACCAAGGAGGTGAAAGACTTACACGCTGAGAACTACAAAACATTGCTAAAATTAAAGGAGACCTAATTAAATGGAAAGACATCCCATATTCAAGGATGGGAATACTTAATATTGTTAAGATGACAATACCCCTCCCCCCAAAGCAATTCACAGATTCAGTGCAATCCCCATCAAAATCCCAATGACCTTTTCTGCAGGAACAGAAAAGCTGATTTTAAAATTCACATGGAACTGCAAGGGACACTGAACAGCCAAAATATTATTTGGTTCAGTTCAAGTCAGCAGATACTTACTAAATAACTACTGTGTGCCTAATCCTGGATAAGGCTCTTTGAAGAGTAACCAAGGGGCAAAAGATAGTTCCTTCTTTGAAGAGGATTTCAGTTTTTTCATGGGTGATAAGACCATGTGCAGATCTCTTAAACCTGTGACATATTTACATCATCTCTTCCTACATCTGTCACCTCCACTAAACTGTGGGCCTCTTGAGGGCAGGGACTGAATCATATTCATCTCTACACCCCTAGCACTTAGCACTAGGCCTAGCACAAAGGAAAAACCAAAACCAAACCTGTCGCTGTCAAGGTGAATCCAACTCATAGCGACCCTGTAGGACAAAGTAGAACTGCCCCATAGGGTTTCCAAGGAGCGGCTGGTAGATTCAAACTGCTGACCTTTTGGTTAGCAGCGGAGCTCTTAACCACCGCAAAGTGCTCAGCAAATAGTTGCTGCAGGCTGACGCCTGTGAAGGATTCAGAGAACAGGACTCTGTGGTTCAAACAGTAAGCACTGTGAGAATTCAAAAATACTAGAATCAGCAATGAAGGCTTCAGAAAAGAGGTAGGAATTAAAGCCCAGAATATCAGAGGTACAAGTGGCCTGAGGGTCAGCTAGGGCAATCCTGTGAGGTAGTGGAGGCCCTGAGAAGTAATTTGCCCAACACAATACAGAACAAATGGCAGAGCAGAATCTAGAACACAGGCCTCCTAATTCCCAATCTAGTGCTGGAAATCGCAGTAGAAGCAACCACAAGCTGATGTTGATACAGCACTCTACAGTTTACCAAGCAGGTTTGTACATAAGGCAGGACAGTGGGCCAGCTACTGTCTGGTAACATCTGCTGCCTGAGCAGTTGGTGTTGTAGGGAGAACGTGAGCCTTGGATGCTCCCCCATGACTTGCTGTGGAGACTTGAGCAACTTACTTGACTCTGCGCATCACAATTTCTGTACCTAAAAAGTGATGATAAGAATAAACACCTTGCACAGTTATTGTGACAGTTAAACAATGTGTGTAAGGTACCCAGCATCAAACAAGTGTCAGAATGCCTGGTTTCTAGTCTTAATGTCGTTATGACGATGGGCCTCATCCATCCTGCTTTCAGGCAAGCTCCCAAGACTAACTTCCTAAGGAGTCTAGAACTGTCTTCCCCAACCTCCTTGCCTTTCTGTTTCAGCAAATCCCAGTCCCTGACTAACAGCCTCAGCACAACCGACACGTCCCAGCGCGGGATCCCAAGCGAAGACGAGGCCAAGGCCGAAACCATCCGCAACCTGAGGAAGTCCTTTGCCAGCCTGTTCTCTGACTAACCCCATCCAGGGTGGGTAGGGAGGGTGTGCGCTGTTACTCTCCCCTCTCCTGCCTCACCTTCTTTCTCAGCCTTGGTTCCTCATGGGAACAGAATGGAGGGCCTGAGAAAATGTTTTCTAAATGCCTCTGACCCAGGAACTGAGTAGCTCTATGTGTTCTCATTTTCCTTTACCATGACATTCCAACATTGTCAGACTGAGGGGTGTGCCTTTGAGAGCCTCCAGGTTCCTCAAAACGGGGCTTAAAGACAGACCTCACATCCCTCTGCCCACCCAGATGCTTGCTTCCCTGCCTCCAATAACCAAGTGAGTTGTCTGTTTGTGGCTAGTTTTCACATTGGTTTGCATTTTGCTTGCCTTTGGGCAAAGGCTCCTTCTAGGCCTTCCCCCACCTCCATCAAGTGCAGACTCTGCAGTTGGACCTCAGCAATCTATGAGGCAATAATCTTTTGACAGTGTTTTGCAAACAAAAGAAAAGCTTATCCGGGGAAACCTACCACCTACCCATGCTAGTTCCATCCACACGCTCGAGACCTCCCCTCAGACCACACAGGCAAAGGCCCCCGACTACCTGGCCACAGTGGGATCTGGAGGCAACTGAAGGAAACCAGACCTTGGTGACAAGTGGGGCCTTTCAGAACACAACAGAACAGAAACAGAGGGGAAATCCTGTAATGCAGCTCTCATCCAGAGTGTTGTCCAAAGTTGGACAGTTGAGAGCCGACCACAGAGTCTTTGAGGAATCGTCACTGGTTCCCAGAGGAGAAAGATGCCCTGAAATTCCCAGGGAAGATGTTAGGTTAGGGGTCCTCCACCCATTGTGTGTGACACCACTGTTTGGTCTCCTCAGCTTCCCAGCAGAAATGTTTCTTCCTCAAGGGCATATGAGGAACCCAAGAAAATCAGCAGATCAATGGCAAAGGATCAGAAAGCACAATGATAGTAACTTCTAGTTCAGCATTTTGCAAACTGTGTACACAAGGCATTAGTAGGTTACTACTTTACAAAAGGCCCCATGGTCAAATGTTTAGGAAACACTGTATATATTTCATTTTTGGAGATTCACAGTACATATTACATGTCAAAGGCTCTTGGAATTTGAGCAATAAAGAAACCAGGTTTAACTTAGTTTAACCCAAACTTATTTAACTAAACAAGTTAACTGCAGAGCTGGAAAAAGTAGTCTTGATTCCGTTTCCAATGCTCTTTCCCCTCTACTGGATGTCCTCCATCAGAACAGGGCTCAGGGGTGTCTCAAGTAACTAAGCACCTGGTGCTAGAAACATTGCAGGAGCCTGAACCAGCTTCCTGGTCACCAACAGGGCCCAGGAGATTAGAACATAGCCATGTTACCCGCCTACAGCCCATTTTGAGACTTGAGATATGTCTTCCCTCACTGTTTACAGGGAAGGGAGGAAGAGAGGAAGGTAAAAATGGAAACGCCCTTGGCCTGCAGCAGCTTCTAGTCATGCCAAGAGATGTAAATTGCCTGGTAATCAGCTGAGACCCATCCAGGTCCACAGGAGCAAAAGAGCAGTCACCACCTTCTTGGTCCTCCAAAGCCACACTGGTGTGGTGAGGACAAGGCCAGAGACCCGATCTTCCTGTGTGCATTGGGTCATATAGAACCCTTGACTTCAGCAGAGCCAGCCTTCAAGTTGGCATTCTGATATGAGTGGCTCAGTCCCAAAGGTGTTGGCTGTGTCTGGTGCTCAAAGATCTGCTTGGCCTTTAGAGTTGTCCTCTTCTACCTTGCCCTCTTCCCTCCCTTGTGATCAGCTCAATCGTAACAGCAAGAGAAACTGCTACTGCAGAAGTCCTCTTTCTCCTCTTGTTCAGGACCCCTGGTCTTGGATTCTGTAATAACAAGCAGCCCTGGCATAAGAAAGATCAGGAGAGTCCAGTTGCTAATGTCCATTGGGTGCCATAATTAGGCAGCTGGAGACCTTGGTGGGCTTGGGCCTGACTGACATTGGCTGGTATCAGCAGCCAAATAAAATGGCTGTTATGTAACCTAAAGGGTGAACCAGTAAGGGCCTGGCACTCTTTCTTGTAACTGCCCCCAACCCCAACTAAAAAAAAAAAAATCACCCTTATTCTATCTCTATGCTCTGTTGAGTTCAGTGTCTAGGGGGCAGTCCCTGTTGGCATGACTGGAGCTCATTCTGCCCAGTAACACACCTCCCTCCTTTTCACTTAACCTATGCAATGCAACCTGGTGGTATAGTGGTTAAGCGTTCGGCTGCTAACCAAAAGGTCAGCAATGCAACAGAACTGGGCTGGCCAGAAGCCACTGGAAATGCTTCCCAGTGGAGCTGAAATGGCTCAGTGGACAGTCAGACCCATACTGGAGCTGCTGCAAGCAGGCCTCACTCAACACATCCTGCCTAGACCCCCATGGTCTAAAGTGGAGGCCTTGAGGTCAACACCCCCATGACCATGCTTTGGGGAGGTAAGCTGAGGGTAGGGAGTACATCAGCCAGTTTTATAATTCTGTAGAACTCTGCCTCTGCCTCTTTCTCCTCCTGCTGCCTGACTTGATGCTTTCACCACTCCCTAGCAACTTCTGGAGAAAGCTAAGTGAGGCAGAAGGGAAGGAGACCAGGAGATGAAATTTACAAGTCAAATGCAGGTACCTTTTAAAGCTATTCTGTTACTAGAAATGTAACAAAAGAGAGTATAAATTTTGGTTAATGTGAGACTTGATGACTAGCCATCTGTCAAGGATCCTGGAGATCCCATTATACACACACATGTATAAGACACACATGGATAATCACTGGGAATTGACAAATGTATGTCCCATAATCGTATCATCTAACTTTGTTTATGTCCTCTTCCTAGAGGGTCTCTGAAGACTGCTACATTTTTCCCACTTGGCCCTGAGAAAGTAGTTGTCACTGGTATAGGTCACATGGCGAGGGAACCAAACTACCAGCCTTGAAGGTTCCTGGGCCCCTGCCTTCTCTCATGACAATGGCAGTTGAGGTTGCCCCATAGAGGGACCTTGGAGCTCTACCCCACGATTTCATTATAAGATTCTAGCATACACAGTTACAGGATTTAGTTTGGTTTCTTCCATTTAAAAAAAAAAAAAACCTTCCCCACATTACTCAGGGGTAGATCTTTCAAAGAAATAATTCTGTGCTACCTTCTGAATAAAAGGATGAGAGAGAACTGCAAGGGCAGGGTGTGATGCGGCGTTAGACGGAGAATGTAGGAAATCCCTACCGTAGTCGCCACTTTGCTATATTGGAGATTAAGATCGGTAGGTAGTAGAAGTCAAACAATCTCACTGCATTCTCCCATAGTAATAAAATACAGCTCCCAGCACACAACGAAGTATCATTAGGCTGACAAAGTTTCTCAAAGGGTGGGCCATGGGCCACAAGCAGAGCTAGTTACAAAGACAGAGAAGGCCTCATTTTAGAGCAACGTTATCAGAATGTCTGGGCAGTGGGCCCAGAAGTTGCATCTCTGTCAATCTCCCTAGGTGCTTTGAATACATATTAAAGTCAGCCCAGAGCTGAGCTGTGCAGGAAAGCCAGAAGTGAGAAATAGTGTTGGTATGTTTGTGTTAGAGTCACCAACACAGCTGGGGACCCATGCCTTTGGTAAGTAAACATGTAAAGCCAGTGACCCCATGTGTGTCAGAGTAGAACTGTGCTCCGTGGGGTTTTCAATGGCTGATTTTTCAGTAGATTGCCAGGTCTTTCTTCCAAAGTACTTCTGGGTGAACTCAAACTTAATTGTTTTGGTTAACAGCCGAGCGCATTAACCGTTTGCACTATCCAGAGATTCCAAGCAAAACTAGCGGCTCCATAAACATCATCCACATGGCCTAAATCTTTCCAGTTTCCTGTCAGGGCTTCGAACCTGTTTGTTCTGGTTAGAACTGCTGCTGAGAATTTGCATTTCTAACAAGTTCCCAGGAAGTAATACATTAGAATCACCTGGGGATTCTGTTAAAATGTAGATACTGATTCAGTGCATCTGGAGTGGAAATGCCCTCCCAGCATTAGGGAGCAAACTAGCTTTTGCTTTATTCAGCTTCATAAAACTTTGCTTTGCTTTGTGTTTAGAATCGGTGAAAGGATGCAGTTCAGAATCACGGGATAAGCAAGTGAAGTCAGCCTTGTAGAACCCAGCAGTACCTTAAATACACTGCAGGAACAGGTCATTGCCTAAGAACGATTTCACGTGTATCTCACAGACTTTTTTTTTAGCCTCCAGAGTAAACTGGCCAGTTCCTAACTACTATCCCAACAAGGGAAACACTGGTGGAGTAGTGGTTAAGAGCAACATCCACTAACCATAAAGGTCAGCAGTTCAAATCCACCAGTTACTCCTTGGAAACTCTATGGGGCAATTCTACCCGACCCGATGAATCAAAATTGACGCAATGGCAAAGGGTTCTTATACCGACAAGTGTCAAAGGCTGTCCTAGACCCCTAAGTGGTCACTGATGGAATTAAGGGATTCAGTTTAACATTTAGACTCTAATAGTACATGGCACTTTTGGTTTGGTCGGAGACAAACTGGGAGTTTGGGCGACAAGCAAGTCCACTCAGTCCATTTACCAAACACAATGCATGAAGGGCCCAGAGGCTCCCTTGTGCTTCCCTAGACCAACTACACAGCCAAAATAGACGAGAAGTGGACACTTAGGCCATGTATTCAAATCTCTCTCAACCCGCAGACCAAAGGGAAAAGGCGAAAATGGCTGGGAAATGTTCTTCGGAATCAGTAAAGCATTCCTTTAAGGGGAAAAAAAAAATCTAAAACTAAACATTCCTTCTACAGTGTTTTTTTTTTTTTTTAATCCTTTAAAATTCTAAACACTTTTCATTACTTTTATACTGATTCTAATTTTTATTCCCATTTCCAAACTCCTGTCTTTTAAGTATCTGCTCTCTACACCCTTTCATTCAGTGAGCAGAGCAGAAGCAAGTTAACATTGCCTTGCCAAGGCAATTAACACTTTACCTATTTTGATGCAGAACAGTAGAAACTTAAGTACTAAAACTTATTGGGGAAGAAATCCCAGGATAGTCATTTAAGTCACTTAAGATTAAACCTTTATTTAATGTGACTTACCTAGTGTTTCCCAATAACCTCATCCACTCCACATCTTCAACAGTCAACTGGAGACTACCCAAAGGAATATTAACCATGGTTACAGCAGAGAACTAGGACTTCACTGACTCCTCTCTGAGGCTCTGTAATTAGGCAGATACTGCCCAGGGTAGGACAGGAGTCAAGCCTTGTCGCTGGGCCCCACATACTGGGGGGCAAAGGGAGGAATATCCAGCTCTGTTAGAGTAAGAAAGAAAGAATTAGAGGTATTAAGCTAAGCAGGAACTGGGAAAAGCTAAGCATGAGTGAGAGAGGCCAGGGTTCAACACTGGTTTTGCATTAAAAAAAAAAAAAAAACCATTGCCGATGAGTCGATTCCGACTCATAGCGACCCTATAGGACAGCGCAGAACTGCTCCAAAGGGTTTCCAGGGAGCAGCTGGTGGATTTGAACTGCTGACCTTTTGGTTAGCAGATAAGCTCTTAATCACTGTACCACCAGAGCTCAGGTTTTACATTATGAATCACAAATTTAGTAAATCGGAAAGGGAGGATCCCTCCCACAATTTGGTTATCAATCATGCCAAACCAGTAACTTTTGCTTATAAACAGGAAAAATGAGGAGGGAAGAGAGCAAGTTCCTGTTAGTAAAAATAAAGGGGAAAGTAAAGGGCCACACAAAGTCCTTCAGGCTACAAGCCAATGATGCAGAACGCTTGCCATGGCACTCTACAACTATCTTGCTCCCACTACAATTTATCAAGATGATGTCAGAAAACCATGCAGTGAACGGGCTTTGCTAAATCCTGCTTTCTTTCTCATTATACAGCAGCAATACACAAAACTCAGCAGTCTTAGTCTAATTAAAAGAATGTAGGATTTTATGAGCTTCTGACCATAGGAAGAAGGGAAAGGAAAAGCTTTGAGGGGCTATGTTTTGTTAAGAATTTACTATGAACTATTTTGAGAAGACGGCAGATTTAAGTTTAGGGCACACTGCCAGTGTCCTAAACTAACAGATTTGTAATGTCTGCCAGCCAGTCCAAGGTAATTAGAAAAGTAGCACCTGTACCCAAGGACACCAGCACCATTCAAGGACCATTCGAAAATGACTGCTCTTTGAAAACTGTTTTACAGTATTTGGTGCTTCTGGTCATCACTACATCCTCCCATTCCCACTGCACGTGCGCACACACGCACGCACACACACAGTGCAAGTTCACATGACAAGGCCACAAAGAAACGTGGTGGAGAACTAGAATATACTTGGACCCGTCAAAGATTCAAGGTGACCCTTTTAACCCAGATGAAATTAAAGCCATATGGCATTAAGTGGACACTTGTTTTAAGATTGTCCAGCAGCTCATATATTACAAAAAAAGACAGACCGAAATGTCAACAGCCCAATCCTCTACCTATCCATTAAGCTACTTGAGTGACATAGCATCTGGAAAAATCATATTGAGTTTCTTCACTGTGATGGAAAAAAAGACTCAATATATATGTGTAGAAACGAATAATATTTTCACTTATATGTAGGATTCAAAATATTCTTACAGCACATAACATCCCAAGCCATTTCCTTACATGCAAAACAGATTTTTTAAAAAGCAGGAAGATATTGGCGATATTCCTACGTATTTTCTGCAGATACTGTTTTATTCCTGTGTCGTGATTCAGATTTTAATTCCTGTCACTATAGCATGTTTCTATACAGTGTTTGTATGATAAATCATTTGTGTTTAGCCTTTTTCTTGTTGTAGGAAAAATAAATCTTGAATTTTGTCTATTTCAAGTCTTAACAGCAAAATGTTCTTCAAATAATAGGCTAGCTTTAAAGAACAAGCATGCTGAGCAGTAAAACTCTGTTGTTAAAAGATATCATCTATTTACGTCACAAATTAGGGACCAAGTGTCCAAAATACAAGGAAAAAAAATCATTCATAACAACCTACCCCAGAAGGAGCCAGAAACTTGAGTCCCTATAACCTAATGGTCTTCCAACAGTTCTGCTGCAGAGCCCAGGAAGCTCCACCACAAAGCCTCCAAAAGAGCTGCAGAGAAAGCAGGTGAACTGAGCTGGGGGATGTCCAGAGTATCCACCCCAAGGCAGTTCAACCAGACTAGCTCTTCTTTTATTTGTTTTATAAAGTGGGCTTCTGCCAATGATTACATTTGAAGAAAGGGTACCATTAAAAAAATAAAAAGGAAGCCCCCTACAGTTACCAATAATCTGGATGACACTGAATAGGTTCTCTGATGACTTTTAAACGTCCAAGTTATGTTATGAAGCCATTTGGAGTTTTGATCATCTTTCTGTAATAAAAGTCAAGACTGCCAAGTTATCTACACGTTAATTTTTTTAATCTGATGCAGAACATTATCAATAAACAACTTTCATTCTAAAGGGGGACCCAGAGGGAGGAAATCAGAAGTCATCTATTCCCAAGACCAAGGCGTCTGACAGCAGTAGCCCTGGGACCAGGGGGACCACCCCTGGAGCTGTAACATATCTAATGAAAGGCTTGTGTGAGTGCACTTCTCACCCCCACAGTTAGGATCAGAAAATAAACTAGGGATCAACACCCCAAGAGATGACATCTGAGTTTGAAAAAACAAAACAAGCTCATGAATGAGATTACAAATCAATCACATGAATGGCAGCCGGCTGTCAGTTGGCCGACCCCTGCCAGGTCTGAAGGGAAATCTGTCATTTGGGCCTCCTCGCCCTGGCAAGATGGGGTTAGGTCCTGGAAGTGGGCCAAGTGGATCAAAACGTGGTCTGAGTGGAGGGAATTGGCCGGGAGTCTCCCCAGGCCCAGGGATGAGTGAATTGATTGGGTCCCCAACAAAGGGAAGTACTGGTCTTACATCATATTCACCACCAATAATTCCTGGAGGATAGAGAGGGCTGGAAGGAAAGGGAATAGGATAGAATGGGATGGGGTGGGGTGACGGTGGCAGGAACACCATGTGGCGCCCTCTCTGAGCATCTTTTCTCTGCTTGTGCCTCTTCTTGTACAGCTGTAGAAAAACACCATGATATGGTAAGCGACTTGATGCCTCCCCAAAGTCTGAATTTGCTTTCATTGTATAAATCTATCTATACTTTCCCCACATCAACCAGGCAGACAAAGAATACTACAGAAAAGAACTTTTACCAGTTTCTATCTTCATGAATAAGGTAGCAGCTCTGAATACTGTGCCAAGTGAACTCTATTCTTTAACCATGTTGCAACTGGGCAATTGTGCTAATTTGAAATAACAATATATCCAGAGGAGGGATAACTGGATGACTTAAAGACTGCAATCTAGAGCTCTCACGCTGATACTCAATTATAACTCAGCCTTTTCTGAAAGTGGAAAGCTCAAATATTTGTTGAAAACGTCATACCACAAAACATAAAGTTAAGGTATGGGGGGGAGGATGGACACAGCCCTTAAATTCACTGTTTCACCTAAATTATGTCCTAATGCATCTCAATTTAAACAACATAAAACAGATGCCTATTTTAGAGGATGGAACATATTCCTAGAGAATAGTATTGTGTATTTTGTACGTATTTCAGGACTTTAAGTTTTATTCTTCTCTATTCCTTCAACCCCAAGAGTTTTTCTTACTACTTGCAAAGTCTTTTATAGTAGTTATCTGCAAATAAAACAACAATTTATTCTTTTCATAAATGTCCTATTCTAACTAGATGTAAAACTGAAAACTACTCCAGCACAAAAACGATTACCATAAAAATTTTTTGCAACAAAAGGATAAGTGAGAATGTTCTATATTAATTGAAGGTGAAAAGCAATTCTTGTTTTCAGATTTTTTTCCTGTGTAGTTACAGATTATGTACTAAGTCTAAGGAGCCCCGGTGGCACAACGGTTAAGCACTTGGCTGCTAACCAAAAGGTCAGTGGTTCAAACCCACCAGTCACTCCACGGGAGAAAAGACTGGCAATCTGCTCCTATAAAAAAATCTTGTAAAAGTTACATCCTAGAAAACTCTATGGGGCAGTTCTACTCTCTCCTGTAGGGTCACTATGAGTTAGAATTGACTTGTCAGCACACAACAAACGAACAAAGCCTAAGGTTAAAATTTGAAAACATTTTCATTAACTGAGATACAGCTATAAATTTAATGAAACCGATTTCATTACACCATAATAAAAGTGAAAATACATTCTTAATGTATTAATTCACTAGTTATTTCTGTTATAAATATTAGCCTTAATATTTAAGAATACCTACTTCTTTCCAATCTGTATCTCGAGCTCTGGCAGTACTATCTACAAAGGAAAAACAAAAACTAAGGATTAAAAAAATCTTCATCCAGCATTAAGTAGTCGGTTTGTTTTTTTCCTAAGGAAACCGAAATGTACTCATTAAGCACAAAAATGAACATGAATCATTTACGTAACACACATTATATCACTGTACTTTCTTGAACCTAATTCAACCCCTTTCTTGGTGGCTAAGGGTGGCTGTAACTATTCTGTGCTACATGGTAAATGAATGCAGTGACTCCCTCAGGGACCACGGAGGGCTATGTGGGGGTTCTCTCTCTGCACTCACTGGTCTGCATGACATCTTCTCACCTACCTCATCCAGGAGTGTCAGCTGCTTCTAACCCCATGCCCCATGCTGCACCAAACTGGGCTGACAGCCTCTGAGCATCTGTATTACAGCTCCTGTTCATGAGGAGAGGTAAAGCTGACTTCCAGCCTTCTTCGATATTTGAGTCATACTATTTTCTCCCAGCCATCCACTATCCGAAGTATGACCATGACTAAGTATTTTTTAATGTACATACTTATTTGAAATGTGTGAAATAGGAACAGAGGAACCCCTCAACTTCGTTAAGTCTAATGAAGAATTTGGATAAAAAATAGTGATTTCTTCTCTACATTATTATGTTAATATGGAAATAAGACTTATAGAAGCTCTCGCCCAAAAACATATCTATGAGAAAATTCATTCTAAAATCTAACACTCAGCTTACAAATGAACTTGTGGACCACAATCTGGGAATGAGATAGCAACTGACTGTAACTTAAACCTGGACTTGAATACACAAGTGAAAGGATATTTGTTCCTCCTAACGAGTAATTCATATGAAAGCCTGCTTTATCTTTGTTAGGTGTTCCATATATGTTGGTCGTTTTGTCTTTTATTTCGACTATAATTAGAATTTTTTTGAGATGACACTCTTACTTGCTGCCTTCTGTGACAAAATAACATTTCAACTTTTGGATTCAGGGACATAGTTAAAGTGAAATGAGAACCTTAGCAATCAGGAAGGAGGAAAAGGAACAAACCAGGCCATGCATACTTCTTACATCTTGAAGTTAAAAAAAAAACGGAGGAGACCTATCCCCCCGACTTCTAACAGATGCTAAGGTGGTGAGTTAACATCACATATAACACTATCATTCAACCTTTTTACATGTGAACTATGTAACAAATATTTTACATTGCAACCCAGTATACAATTACATATGCATAACTGAAATAGAAGCTTACTCCTATTTTATAAAAATGCATGCTCATTTTTCTTTTTTTTTTTCTTGTAAAATGACCCATTAACAACTGATTCCATGAGCCAGCCCAGAGTCAAACAGCAGTGTGAAAACCACTGATGCACTGATGCAGGAGCCACACAGTCAGGCTTTTGGCCTTGTCTCTGGAAATCCTGGAGCACATGATAAGGGTCTTTGACATTTTGGATGAATTCTCCCCATTCTCAAGTACCACTGTCGTCAGTGCTGCAGTAATCACTACGTCACCATAATCCAACCATCCAGAAATAAAGCGTCCCTAGCAACGTGCCATAGGTAAGCAGGATTCTCTCAACTTGTACGCTGGTCAGAATCTATTAAATCCACTCTCCTCCACAAGGGTTGAAAATTTCTACCCTCTGCTCTTTAAGAACTCAGAGTTTGGATTGCCTGCTTAGCCCCAATATATCATCATTACTGTCTGTCCACAGTATGCTGATACCTCCTCTCCTGTTTTCTCCACAGGCTCCTCCCACAATTCTTGTAGGAAAAGTCAATCTCAAGTCTGTTTCTAAAGTCACATGAGGTGCAACATGGAGGTGGATGAAAGAGTATCTTCATCACATTCCAGTTGGAATTCAAATACCTCAAATTCCATTACTTGTATGAATTCCTCAGACCCTTAATTGAGTTTTGTTCCTCAGAAACTTTCCTAAGAATAGTTTTAAAAGAGTTTCTATGAAAAATAACGACACAGAGATATGCAGTAAGTTAAAATGTTACCATTAATCTACCTTCAGTCACTTAGTTCTTCCATACTATCTAGCTACAAAGGCATCTGTGACAGCTTAGAAGACATTGCATCATTTTTTTTAGTATAAACTTCAAAACTAACTTCTCATTCTGACCACACTGAACAGAATGTCAACTGTAAATAGGTCCTTATATGGGGCATCTGGGATAGTTTTCTCATTAAGCACAAAAATGAACATGCAATGCCAATCTGCAGTTATCAGGACTAAAAAACTAACTTTTTTAGGTTTGGGTATAAAGAAAAATTTTCTCAGTGGACTTAAGTCCTGACCACAATCATAACAGAAAAATAAATTACCAACACACGTAAAGAATAAGAGAAAATGAAATATGATACCAATATATTCAAACAAAAGAACAAGTATCCTTTGATTTACATATTCATATCTAAGTTTAAATTATAGTTGATTCCCTAATTTATTTCCAGATGTAGACTGTAAGATGATTGATAATCTAGATGTTCAAATTTGAATGATACAGATACTGAGGATGGTCTATACAGGGAGAATAAACCTGTCTTCCATTTTCCTATCCTTAAATAATCTACTTAGTCTAATGAGCCATTTGTGTCGTGGAGAACAGAAAATGAACGAGAAGAGAGTTTTCAGGACATAGACAAAGGTGTATGAAGCTTAGGATCTCTTTAGTCTGAAGCTATTACTTATGATCACTTGCAACTCTTAAAAATAATAATAATAAGCCTACAACTAAAATCTTTTGGCTAGCTGAGTAATTAAGACCTTGGTAGGAAAGAGCACTTTCTCGTCAACATGTCATTATGGAAATCACCTCGAAAATCCCGCAGATACAAACACCTCCACAGGAGTTGATCATTTGAAGCAATAAAGAGGTCATGACAAACTGCAGACAGAGACAGGACAGAGCGAACATCCAAAAGTCGGAGGATCCGCAGTTTCAGCTCCAGTGGGAGGACTAACAACCCAAATACATCTGGTAGGTTCAGGGCTAAAAGAAAAAAGAGAGAAGTAACAGGTATTATTGAACAAAGAACATTCAGCTTTCTCCACATTTCAAGAAAATTTGCCAACTTATTGCTTCCCAAAGAGGTAACAAATTAGACGGTAGTCTCGACTACCTAACAGCACATTATCTATAACTAACTTTCTAACCCCAGGTTAACTACATTACTCCCAATGCATACAACTCTAGGCCTTTTATCCCCTCTATCATTTCATGGGAATACAAATACTGGTTAATACAGATCAAGCTTCATTACAAATGACTGACAATTTCTAAATACTAGCCAATGGCCTCTTTTATTCCAAGCAATATTCAATGCAACATCTATAACTGGCTCCTAACCCTACCACTTAATAGCTGTGTGACTCTGGATAAGTTACTTAACCTCTAATTCAATATCCTCATCTGTAAAATGGGTTAATAACATTACTACCTTGCTATATTGTTGCGGGAACTTAAATGTGTTAATATAAAGCACTTAGAACAATGTTTGGCACATAGTAAAGCACTCAAGTGTTAGCAATTACTATCATTTCATGTCTAGCAGGCTGAAAAAAAAAAAAAAAAAAAAAAAAAGGAAGGTAGATATATCCAGAAGCAAAGCCAAGAAAGGGAATCAAAAGAAGGAAAAATATATTCCAAAGTAAAATGTAAATTCTTTTTGAGTATTAATTCTTTTGGAATATTTTGTGATATAATTCTCCACTAGCAAAGTGTAAAAACAGCATGGGGGCAGTGTCTGACCTCCTCCAACCTCACAAGCGGGAAGGAGAATCAAGACCAACAGCACAAGGCTGACTCCCATGAGGCAAAGGCCAGACAAACCTCTCTCCTCCATCTTTACTAATTCTGACAGCAATGGTCCCTCACACAGTACTCTCTACTTCTCTGCTGAGTTCGATTAATTCACTGCAATGGCCACACAGAACTCTCAGACTATACTCACAATTATGGGGTTTATTAGGAAAGTAACAGTTACAATTCAGGCTCAGGAACACGCAGGATACAGTTCTTCCATCAAGACAGCCTCTTCCCAACCATGCTCGCAGGCACGCCTCTCCCTGGCCCTAGGCCTCTTTCCAAAGGCACTCAGCTTTCTCTCTCCATGGGCCAGGAAGACCACCATGCCGTCTCCTGCTGCTGGATCTCTCCTGCCACCTCTTCTCACCGTCTTCAGGGTTACAGCTTGCCCTCTCTCTCTTTCTCTCCCTACTGGTCTCGGTCTTGGTCTTCTGCTTCCAGGAGCTTCTCAGCACAGGGATCCCAGGTCCAAAGGACGCACTCTCTGCTCCTGGCTGTTCTTCCTTGGTGGTGGCAGATCCTCCTCTCTGCTCTGGAACTGACTCTCTTTTAAGGCAAACTGACCAATCCCCTTGGTGGGTCACAATTACCCTATCACACAGTCCCACCTAATCACCTGGGTGGGAGTTATAAGACCATGGCTAGAAAGGCCACACAAATGTAATCAATCGCACCACACAAAGATAATCAAAATCCAACGAAGATGTATCTAAGGGTTTTAAAATTTACATTAGTCCCCTTCCCCCACAGCACCATGTAACTTGAGACCTAAATTATTATTCACGTCTCTGCAAACGGCAAATAAAAGCTACATACCTACCGTATACCATCGTCCCTCAGTATCTGCGAGGGATTCGTTCCAAGACCCCCCCAGATACGAAAATCCATGGACGCGCAAGTCCCTTATATAAAATGGCATAGTATAAATAAAGAAATAAAATAAAATGGTGTAGTATTAACCTACACACATCCTTCTGTATACTTTAAATCATCTCTAGATGACCTATAATACCTAAAAAAACAAAAACCAAACCCGTTGACATCAATTCCAACTCATAGCAACCAACCCTATAGGACAGAGTAGAACTGCCCCATAGGGTTCCCAAGGAACGCCTGGTGGATTGGAACTGCTGATTTTCTGGCTAGCTGCCGTAGCTCTGAACCGCTACGCTACCAGGGTTTCCTATATAATACCTAACGCAATGTAAATGCTCTGTAAATAGTTGTTTCATCACGATTGAAGACTTGCTCTGGAAGGTAGCCTTTATCTTCTCTGAGTTTCTGAAGCTCTTCTGGGAATGCTGATTCTGCCTGGGCATCAGCAGATGCCGATTCACCTATGGTCTTGAAGTTCTGGAGGCTGTAGCTCTTTACAGAGCTAGCCAGCCATCCCTTACCAGCCTGACACTACTCCTTCCTCTAGCTCTCCTCAACCTCCTCACACTTTGCCTTTAAAGGATTGCTCTGACCACTTCACTGCTTTTTAGGAGCCATTTTCTCACAGAAACAACGGGTGCACAGAACACAAGTAGTGAACAAAGAAACGAGACGCAAGGTGAACAATCCTCAAATAACGAGTGCTGGATAGAGACTGAGGATCTGTGAAATGGCGGGAGGCAATAGCAGGAGATGCCTACACTTCATTCACATGGATTCAGTGTAATTCTCGGTGCACAGCAAATTCGGGTTTTGCTTTTTGGAACTTTCCTTTTTTCCCCCCCAAGAATTTTTGATCTGCAGTTGGCTGAATCCACAGATGTGGAACCTGTGGACACGGAGGACCAACTTGTATTTGTGTAAGTCTGAAACCACTTACTAGCTAAAGGACTGCAGGAGATTGTATTATGGTTCTCAACTAATCCCTTCCTACCCTGTAATTACAGTTCCTCACCCCACTGCCATCAGGCATGGCCGTTTTTTACTTGTTTTGTTCAATAAAATGTGCATGGAGCTGACATTTATCATTTCTGAGCAAAAGCTTTAAGAACCAACACATGGTTGGGCCACTGGCCCTGTTTTCCCTCTGCCCCAAGAAGAGAATGTTCTAGCCAAAGCTAACTCACACATAAAATGTACATGAACAAGAAATAAATATTCCTTTAAGTCACTGAGATTTTTGAATATTTTCACCACAGCACAAATTAGAGAAAGCTGACTAATGCAGGGCTCTTGAGTGAATTATAAATCTCTCTCAATTACAGTTTCATCATCTATAAAATAGGTACAATAAAATCTACTTCAAAGTTGTTGTTAGCATTAAATAAGAATGCATGTAAAACATCCAACAAAGTGCCTGGCAGGGAGTCCCAATAAATGCTGATTTAAAAAAATACCTAGACCCAATTTACAGGCTACCCATTATTTATGTATTCACTGAACAACTATTATGGACCAGACTCTGTGCCAGAATATGAGAATACAAAAGCGAGTAAGATGGATTCTCTGCTTTCAAGGTATTCACAACCTTAAAAAAAAAAAAAAAAAAACACTAAACCCATTGCCATTGAGTCAATTCCAACTCATAGAAGAGAGACCCTACAAGACAGAGTAGAACTGCCCCAAAGGGTTTCCAAGGAGCAGCTGGTGGATTCGAACTGCTGACCTTCTGGTTAGCAGCCAATCCCTAACAACTGCACCACCAGGGTTCCTTAGGGCCATCATAAAGATGTATAAAATGCTATGGAAATACAAAAGAGGACTGAATAGCATTTAAGGAACTAATATATAACTTAATTAGTCTTAAAAGAGCAGAACTTAACTAGGAGAAAAGCAGGAGGTCAGATGTTATGGAGTCACCAAGCATACAAAGAAAACTTAGTATTCTTTCCAGCCATTCGACCTGTGATAATTTATCATCTCTCACCTTGTCGGGTAAAAGCCAGAAGAGGATACACCAGCTGGTCTTTGAAGAGGCGGGAGAGCTTCTGAAGATCTTTGTACATCTGGGCTGCATTTTCCTCTAGATTTTTTTTTTTAATGAAAAATTAGAACACAAAATCAAGCAGAAAAACTTGAAATGGTACCCTCTACTTCTACCAACCAAATCAAAGGGGAAAATAAATATTCACAAATTGTAATTCCTACATAGATAAACATGAAGACCAAGGTCACCAGTAGAAGAGGAGGTATAGTACACCGACCGATAAAACTGAATCGTAGATGTAAAGCTAAAGATACCAAATTAACAGAGCTGTGCCCAACTTGTAGAGCTCAAGGACTGCAAGTACAGTGGAAAAAAAAAAAAAAAGTCTAAAGAAGATCCTTAAAATGTAATTGAATCAATTGCTGCCAGGTCAGTTCCAACTCCTGGCGGCCCCATGTGTGTCAGAGTAGAACTGTACTCCACAGGGTTTTTGATGGCTGATATTTTGGAAGTTGACTGCCAACCCTTTCTTCCAAAGCGCTTCTGGTCTAATGCGTTAACCGTTCCATCACCCAGGGACTCAAAAAGGATCCTTAGGGAGACAGTAATGAAAAAAAGGTTGAGAACCACTGGTCTAGTCTAATGTTAAATGTTCAGTTCATGTAACGCCTAAGTTCTACTTCTATGTCTAACCAGAAGCCACTATAAATATGTATTCTGATGTCTCCTTTTCCTACCAGTTTTAGTTAGTATAAATCAGTCTCTCAAGGCTAGAAACCAACAGGAATATGTCTCTAGGCTTTCAAAGCAAAGGTCTAGATCCAGCCAGCCTTCCCTTAAAAGACACTACTGTAAATGCCTTCTCCTGACTGTACCACACCACTCCCCATCGGGATTTTAAATCCTCCTCATACGTTTACTACCAGGACTAAATGAAATAAGGTATGCAAAGGCACATGTCCAGCACATAATAGGCAATTAAGAGATGTTAGTTCCCCTCCACCCATCTCTTCTTCTTTGACCACCTACCTGCCTCTCATAGCTTAGGTTTAATTGAAAAATAATAAAAAGGAAAATTTGTCTTGTTTGCATCTATTAATATTTTTATAAGTAAAACCAGGCTTATAATGCAATTTTTGGGTAAGATGTCAATCTGCACCAAATAGCAACTAAATTTACGTAGGTTTAAACAAAACTTTGAATGCAGTTTTCCTCCAATAAGATTCAGTAATGAAGTTGCATTGTATTATTTCCACAAAATGTCACAGATCTTCTCCATATTAAATACAATGCTGGAAATGTCCCAAAAGATTAACACAGACACTACGAGGCACAATCAGAGTGTGATGAATTATATACTAATGTTATTTTATAATAGCAGTTAAAATTATTCAGCACTTTAAGATGATCCTAAGAAAAACAGCAAACAGAAACTCCCCAAAGTACAATCAAAATCTTTGCACTCTTCACATGACTGATGTAACTAGTCTCACTGAATTGTATGTCTATGAACAATGTTATCTATGTTTTTACAACAATTAAAAATTTCTCTGCACCCTTAAAGAAGAGACAACATTGTTTTGAATTTGCTTTAATCTCCTTTAGAAGTTTTCCCTCCTTTGAACATTATCTTTCAGTGTTTCTTCAAGTGAACCTCTCAAAGCTTCATCCTGAGAGTTAAATCACATGTTATATTACCTGGTTCCTCTTTGCAAATAAAAGATTCTGGTAGTAGCTGCAATCGTTTTACACTTCTAATCTCATTGTTGATTTTTAGTGTAGCTGTAAATAAGTAGAAGAAAAATGATGAAAAGATTTTGTCACTTCATCAACTGCCTTGCCATTTCTTTGCCCCCAATATGCTAAGGAAACATTGTACTAAACAAACTGCTCTGTGACTGTTTCCTTCCTTCAAAATGAGGTCAAAAAAGTGTAAGCCTACTGTCACATGAAGTAAAATTCATCTAAAACATCACCTTTAAAAACTACAGTAAGCATCTTTATATAAAATCCATTTAGTATTACCAACAGTGGCTTATTAGTAACTGAAAGATATTCAACAAGGTTAATAGGAGACAGTGAAATACAATGAACTCATTATTTCTAACAAGGTCACTAAACACTCCATTTATTTTTTATTTAACCCCTGGCAATGAGTCTTGCCTTGTTCATTAAAAGAATCCTGCCAGTTTTCACAGTGTCATCCCTCCCTAGACCCAAATGACCAATATACTCGATACCACCAGAGGGCTCAATTTTAATCATATATACAAAGGCACACTTCGTCTCACCCCATGAAAGAGCCAGTGATGTGCTTGTGCACATGTGCACTGAGTAGGATGCTTTGGGTGAAGAAAAAAGGTTTAAGGGCACACTGCTCCTTTTCAAAGAATCAAGCCTGGAATGGCCATCTGCCATGCAAGTCTACAAGTAGCTGATTTACCAAGGACAGTAAAGGAGCAAAACACCAAAAGCTAAGAAATCATCAAGACATTCAGCACTTACTCTCTTTACATTACATATCCTGAAACTAGTGAACACAGGTTATTATAACAAATTTTGTTAAAGTGCTTATATAAGAAATTACAAGCTCACATTTACTATTTGGTAATTTCAACCTTGCAAGTTATGACATGATATAACAGAATGATTAGATGAAGGCAGAATTTTCTGGCACTCTCTGTGCACAAGAATGCTCAATGAAAAGCGACATTCGCTAATTGTGACAAATTGTTGAAGTGACGTGGTCAGATATGGAGTTCCACCAAAGCTGTTAAAGCTGAAATTTTGAGACTTCCAATAACATTTCAAGGAATCTGATGATTCAATGGAAATAGCAAAAATTATATAATTGGGGAACTAGAACTCTTTCATTTTGAAGATCAAGTATAAGTCAGCAGCTTTCAAAATTAATTTTAGCAGAAAAAAATATTTTTTCAAACAAAATCTTAAACAGGACCTCAAATAAATGAAACAGACAAACATGTTACTACTCAAAGTTTACCGTAAGTGGGGGCAGGGGTTCAGCTAAGCTTCTCCCTTGCTTCCATCTCAGCAGAACCTAGGTACCTGTAGAACATGTTGAAGACCACGGACCTAAGGCACATCAAAGAGACTGTCTTTGCTATATAAAAGATGCTACACAAAACAAAAATGCAGGCATTCCAATCCTGCCATGCTATCTTGTCTAGCTAAAAGGATGACCCTCACAAAACAACAAACAAATGAAAAAACCTGATCTCTCAAATGGTCTCCAGACTGATTATCAGACTATGCCACAGACCACTGGCAGTTGGTACAGGCCTCTGAGTGGCATCTGAGCTAAAACAAAATGCCAAGATGAATTTATTGCTATCCCAGTGAAATTTCTTAATATGCAAAGAGGACAGAGAGAAAAAAGAACTCTCTATTCCAAATGACTTTCTTTTGGTGGGGGGTG